GACTTTGCAACGAAATTTTATAGGGGGGAGCAGTGTAATTCAGCCTGTTGTTTGTACATTTCCGTTATTTTGGCCTATAACAATCGTGAACAAAAATGTTGTGGTCAGTCGGAAAACAAATAAAAATTGATTCTTTGAAAAATTTATTAAATTCTGTAATTTCATTCAAAAAATGAACAATTTTTTTCTCCTAATTGTGTGTTAGGTCTTGCAACGTTGAAAAAGTTTATTGAGTTGTCTGCGGAACTGGGTAGAAATTGTAACATTATTGTCTCGTCGTCGGGTTAGATGTTTTCGAAATTTTTAAGAAGTCGACCACTAAACAAAATTTGTTAGGAGCATGCAGATGTTTTAAACGAAGATCGTGAACTAAGATCATTTCTGTGACAACTAAACGCTACTAAATTGAACAGCAGTTGTGTTTCGTAGCTATGAATAAAAAATAAAAATTAACTCGAAAGTGTTTAGGCGAGCAAACCAACATTTTATAAATGACCACCACTTGAAAATTTTGAAAATCAAATTATTGAAAGTGATCGACAGAAGATTGAAACTTTTTGAAAAACGAGAAACAGACGCTAAGCATCTTAACCCGACAAGTTATAAATGCGGTTAGCAGCGTTTTAAATAATGATTAAAACGTCAATGAACACAAGACTGAGAAGTTTAAAGTTAAATGCAGTATCCTCAGAAATGTAGATATATTTTTATAAAATAATTTTACTCATAACAAACCTAATAAAATATTTTAATATTTAAACGCTCGTTTAACCCTAACTTTATTCACGTGTTTTAATTAAATTTTTTATTTTGAATTTTTTTTTTTAAATATTCAAAAATTTGAAACAATTTCAAGCCAAATGCCTAAAGAGCCAAGAAAAGTACTAAAATAAAATCACGTCTGAAATAAAAATTGATCACAAAAGTGCACGCTATTTAGTGATTGTTTTGCCAGATTTAAAAATAAAATTTCCTGTTTCAACTTTCCGTTGAAGACAATTTTGACCAAAAAGTTATATTTAAAAAATATGTTGAGATATTTATTAAAATGTATATCACAATAGTATGTGAATGAGTGAAGTTGTGGTGTTAGGATACAATGGTTAATATTATAATAAAAAATGAAATGAATTGAAGAGCGAAATACTAACATAAATAAAAAATTTTCAAGTCGCTAAATTCAAAGTTGGTGTTTCTTCAAACTTATTCACAGCCGATCTATTTGAATATAAATTTAATAAGAATAAACGAACTGCAAATGGATAATGCAACTGTTTATCTCTGTGGTTTTCACAGCCAGTTTCAAATGTTTGCGTTAGCAACTATATCGGCACCGAATACAATTTCAAATTGTATATTTTGAAAACGTCATAAAATTGATTTAAATTTCCCATTCAAAAATTTTATTGATCAGAAAAAAATCTGAAAAAAGTTTTTCGAATATGGTTTACATCATTTACATATACACACAGACACAGATGCACAGGCACACACACTAATACACAAACAGAGATACGCGTACAAACACACACAGGCACATTTGAGTATTAATGATCATATCGTGTGATGCATCTGATATATGAATGAGCGCTTGTATTATGTTCACCTCCATCTCGCCATTATATTGTTCCCTGCACTGCACGTCTTAATGAAATATACGCTCCACTCATCTTTGAAGACATTGCCAACTTTTTAAATATTTTAGATCACGTTCAAATGACATCTTATTTTGATGGACAATGCAATGACACCATGCAATGTGCAAGTTATTAAAAAAATTTAATTATTTAACCTGATATTTAACATGATATTTTTTGAAACAAAAAAATATTTCTAAGCCGAATCGTTCTATTTTTAAAACAAACTTTGGTTTTTTTAATTGAAAATCAAAAAAGTATTTATTGAGTGACATTAGAACACTGCAGTGAACCAAACTGCCAATTGCGTTACAACACATTTTTATGCTGTTGAGAAGTCGTATTTAAATATAATTTTTCTATATAAAATAACTCCCAAAACCTTAAATCTATGTTTTACACAGCAAAGTACTTCACAGACATTTTTAATACTTGCATACACAGAAATGAAAAAAACGAATAATCAAGTTTCAGTAAAGGAGCGGACGTGTTTGTTGAAGAATACACTTTGTGTTCTACAACTGGCCGGTCATTTGTTTATTTTATTATCGTTCACCGTGGGCAAACATTTTACAAGAGTAGAACAAACAAAATTTTTACTTTTTCTCATTACGCTATGTTTATTGTCGGAGCACACAGCTCTTTATAAATGTCTCAGTCTTATTTTAATAAAAAATCCTTAGGTCAAAGGTTTGAAACTTAAACACATACCAATAAACACATGCACGCAAAAACACACACAAACAATCACACACACATTTTCAATATACAAAAACTGCCGTAATCAACATCTCTATCAATTGAACACCAAGCAAACTTAAACTTAAAAAAACTTCGACAGCATGGAAAAGCACTTCACCGCCATCAACATCATCCTTAACAACCGCAACATCAATTACATCATCAAAATAAATAACATCAATATTAATGTCAACAACAACACTAAAACACATTAACGATGTGAACAACTAAAGTGACATTATCCTTAACAAAAAAATTAACCAAGACAACATCATCAACAACACTAGTCGTAGCCTAAGTCAACATTAATATAACAGCATCAACACACAATAGCATCAAAAACAACAACAACAGCAGCAGCAGCAACAACAACAGTAATAAAAATAATAACAACCCAAACAGCGGTGCAATGAATGAATGACATCGGTCTCGAAGGAGCGATTTTGAAAGTAGGAAAAAAATGTGAATATGATTGATCACAACTTTAAATTTATTCAAAAACTTGAAAAAATTGATTGTTCTAAAAAATTTTAAATTAATTTTGCTATAAAATATAACTAATAATATCTTAAAAATTATTAAACATTTCCAATTTTAAATATACAAATTCAGTGATTAACAAATTTTTAAACTCATAAAGTTATGTTAAAATATTTTAAGATTAAATTACTAATTAAAAATAAAACTTCAAATTTTTTTCAGAACATTTCAACGTTTCAATTTTGAACTTTCACGCCAAAACAATTTTCGCAAATTTTTTCATTTCAAGTAAGACCTCAAAAAAGTTCTACGAAAATTGCTGAAGTCAAAAAATGTGGCCAAAAATAATTTAAGCTGAAGTTCATTAAGTTAAAACTTCAATCATTTTTAACGTTCGTTGTATGTGATTTTAAAATATTCATAGTAAATCTCTTTAGAAGAAAGTCTCAAGCAACAAACAAATATCGGACGACGCACGTGATCCAGAGCAAGAAATGCTTGCGGCTTGCTTGCTTGACGGATCGCTCCTTCGATGCAAAACCTTCCCAGGAATGTTTTATCGCTTTGATCAGTTTAGCTTAACTGGAAATTGTTCGCTGGACTGTAAAATATAATAAAATCTACTACAACTTTGCCATATATTAGCTGCTGCCTGGTACATCGTACTAAACAATTTGTTACTATGTTGTACAATCGGTATATCTGTTCTATACTAATTTTTAACAATTCGTACATTCGGTACAATCTGTACATCCGTACCGTACAAATGACTAATATGTGGTACCACCAAACAAATGTTACTATTTGTCACCCATATAATAACTTTATATTATAAAGTTTATAAAGATGTTTTGAAATAAAATGTTTGACAAAATTTCCCAAGAGCTGAGAACAAGAAATTTATTTTAAAATTTCAGTTATGACAGTATTTACATTTACAAATTTACAAATTTTAAATTTCTAACAAATGGTCGAAACGTCAATCAAAATTTATTTTTTAAAACCCAGAATATAATAAAAAAAAGGGAAAAATAAAATAAAAAAATTGTGTGAACCAAGTAAATCAATTTAATATCATTGTAGATCTGCTCCCAGCAGTCAACGAAATAAAGTAGCTTTCATACATTTAAAAAAATTTATTTCACCAAATTACTCAGCTGCTCTACGTTTCAACAGACACAACAACGACAGAATGAATGGGCACAATTTGAAACTGTTTAACGAAATATTTCAAAAACAAAATAAAAGACAATAATAATAACAAATAAAAACTACAGAATGAATACAACGACCAAGAAGTCAGCAGCATTCAACAAAATAACATTAATAATATGAGGTTCAGACGTTTTAAGTTTATCTTGATGTTTCAAATGTTTGATTGTAAGTCAAGTGGAATGATTGTCTCTTATGTATGTGTGCATGTAATTTTAAGTTACTAACGAACAAGATCTTTTAATTAATACGTTTCTTATATATTTTTTATAAGCTTTTTACCTACCTATATCATATTATTGATACATGACATATCATATTATATCATATACCATATTATATCACATATATCATAATCTTATCATACTTCTATCATTTCAAATTTTATCAATTTAAGATTCAAAAAAGTAATTTTAGCAGACGTGCAGTGAAAACGTAGGTACATGAGACTGCAGGACATAGCCAGAAAGTGCGAAAACGTGTGGCGGATTTATAGGAGTCATGTAAGCTTCATGTACACGCAAGCACGCACCTTTCTGAGGTTATTTTGCCTATTTTGCCTTAAACCAAACTAATCGCATGCTTTTTAAATCATCTTCTTTTCAATTTATATTCGGTTGAGTTTTTTGGGTAAAATTGAGAACATGAAATTTGTATATATTAAAAAATTGTTTTCATAGTAGTGGTATTAATTCCAAGCAATCAAACTTTTTATAGAAAATATTGCGATAATAACATTAAAAGCTTTCTGATCCCGTAAAAACTTCAAAGTAAAAAATAAAAACATTTTTGTTTCAGTGCGACTTATGTAATGAACCAGCCAGGCAAACGATCACAAATACCAAAAATCAATATAAAACATATATTTTAAATATGTGTACTAAATAAGGAAAAAACTAAAGTTTATTTATACAAAATGAATTCAGACATTTAGTCAGAAACTGCGAGAAAGTAGCTTGGAGGTATAATTTTATAGAAATTCTATTAAAAATGATACATTGCGGCAGTAAAAATCGATCTGAAAGTCAATCAGATTACGTTAGCAACGAAGTTAAAAAAAAACATAAAATTTAAGATGGTTAGAAATGTCCGTGAAATCTATTTAACGCACAACGTCGGTGAGCCAATGCTGACGAATAATGTATGGTGACATGTTTACTGTTGCATCTGATCTATTACATCCACCGCTCCATATTTTAGCTAGTAGCGCGTATGTTACTTATGCTAGTATTTATTTCCGTACTCCGTTTGCTATTTTTACAATTTTTTACGACGGTGTATTGCCTATAAACAATCGTAAGTGTTGAAACGTGGCTACTAATAATTTATTTATTTATTTAAATTACTGTCACAACTTTTGAACATTTTTCAAACAACCATCAAACATTCATCACATCACGAACCTTATCTCCAAAACTTCTTGCTGTTTCAATTTCGTTATCAGCTTTCTTCTTCGCTTTCGTTCAGATTGTAGAATGCTGGCATTTGATGGTGATCCTATGTTTGAGGTGGATTTTTTAAGAAGGTCCACAGCTATGGCGTGAAATTGTACTCTCGTCTTCAAATCCATCGCCTGCTTCTCTCTCTTCCACTCACTGCGCCACAAATAAAGAAACAAACCACCGACACCCCACACGACAAAAGTTGAAGTTAAACAGGTCGGACCCAATATTTTCATGGGCAGTTGTTGTTCATCCGTCCAACCTTCCAATTTCACAAAACCACAAACGGTCAAAACCACTCCGGCCATTAAACTGAACATTGTCATTGCGAACGCACTCTTCACGGCAAATTCCATTCTTTTGTTTCCACCGCTCGACGATCGCTTCTGACTGCTGTGGCGGCTGCGTCTGTAAAGTGGATCCAAGATGGATGCAAGCGATTCGTCAAAGCTCGTGAAGGAAGAGGAAGGAGACAAGACTGCGGAAGACTTCCTGCGTCGAGATGATGAACGTTTGGAGTTTCTAACGCTTACGTAACTTCCGCTGGGTCTGATGTAGCAGTATGATACTGGCATATCTACAGCTGATGTAATTGATTCAGTGTCTTGATTAGATTGTTTAGAAATATCTTTTTCAATTGAATCTTTTTCGCAAATACCCGCAGGTGTTTGGAGGATTTTAAAATCTTTGTCAGATTTGAATATAAATGATTCGGTATCTAGTGAATTTTTTTTGTTGCACAATAGCAGTGAATCAGACCGTGTTTTCTTGGTTTTTGGTATTTCTTTAGAAATTGGGGTGTTGCTGTTTGCGGTTCTTTCAACTTTGTTTTGTAGGCTACTACTAATTTTCTTCCCAGTTAATTTTTTAATAGTTTGCTGATTGTCTGGGAATAAAATTTTGTACTTTTGTTGCTGCAGCAGAAGATGCTGTCGGCAGACAAATGATAAAAAATCAACCGAGTGACTAGGTCTCAGAGAGCTTGTTGTTTTAGTCAAGCAGCAACTACTTTCAGACAAAAAATTAGATTGAAATAATTCTGTTGCAGTTTTAAAATGATAAAAGTCGTTTTTCTTTAAATTTTCTCTTTTTGTCTGGTCTACGTTAGTGTGACTTTTTTCAGTGTTGCTATCTAAAACGTCGCCGGTTGTGAAATTTGTTGCAAGTTCATTTGTCGTGCAAAGAGGCTCAATGCTGTTTACTGTATGTGTGTTGAAACTATTTGGTCTCTTGTGGTTTGCTATACCCTTGCTATCGTTGTCTGGAATTGTTGTACTGTTGTCGGATTTGAAATTGTCAAACAAATCGTTGTAAATACCTTCATGAGTTTTATCCTTGTCATCAAACTTGTTTTCCAGTGCATTAATGAGATCGTTGTTATTATTTTGTTGATCGTTGGCTATATTGATGTTATTATTATTTATATTGTTGTTGTTGTCGTCGTCGTCGTTGTTATTGTCATCGTTGTTGTTGTTGTTGTGGTTGACGTTGTCTGCGATATCAGATGGCTGCTGAGATCTCGACGGAGCATCTCCTGATCTCCCAACATGCATCATTCATTCTTCTTCCTAACAACAGTTCCTAGTTCCCGTGCATGCATCACTCATCATTTTCCAGATCAACAATTTCTTCTTCTTGCGCTCCTGTCGTTTTTGAATTGTTCCAATATTTTTTAAATTCAGTTTCGTTATTATTATCTGTTAAAACGAACATCGTTTTGACTGAATTTACTTAAATTCAATTAATCTTCATCTTAAAAACAGCTTAACAATACTTGTGATGCACATAAACGAACTTTACTTACAACTTTTAATTAAATAAAAATAATTTCATTAAATCATCTTCATGACTGCACATTTAAATACATTTAAAAAAAACTCGCTTCAGCAAAAAGCAAATAATCTACCTACTTTTCCATTGTATTTATATAGATACATGGTATATTATATATATATATATATATATATATATATATATACTTTAACTCTTTTAATTAATTTAATATAGATAATAATTATAAATTAAATAGTAATATATAATATATATTAATAGTATAAATAATTATATATTAAATAAATATAGGTCTGATAGATATTAATATAATAATTATTAATAATAATATAGGCATGTACGTACATCTTCTGTCTGCGGTCGTTGTTGGCATGATGCACAAAGGTGCATAGCATATAGATGAGTACCTACCTACCTACCTACTTACGTGTATGAAAATTTACGCTGTGTGCTATTTCACATTTATAAATGATGTTTATTTTATTTATTGCTAGATTAATTAAATTTCTGAATTTTATTTATTTATTTTGCCGGTTAGTTTAATATGTAAGGATTAAATTAGAAGACTATACTAAGTTTCTTGAGATTTAGCATTTTTCACGTGAATTTGACCTTATAACTAAGTTAGGGAAATAAGTTTATAAATATTGCTGGATAATAATAATCGCGGACATTGAACCACACGGATAACCACCAAACCACACCAACCCACATTAAACTACTCCAAATCACACCGAACCACCCAAACCACACCGGACCGCACCCAATGTCGCTGTTAATTATACTTTTTCATTTTAAAAAAATAATAAACAATTAATTTAGACTTTATAAAACGTAAATTTCATTAAAATTCCTTATGAGTTGGCATGATTGGGTGAAAAAAAGAGAGAAATGTAAGAGATGCAAACACCGAGACGAGTTCGTTCAGTCGTAAATTGACTACCAGGTGTTCTGTCCATAAAAATTTAAATAGATGTGCGTGTGTGAAGGTGGAGAAGAGTTCTGTTCGAAATATATGCCATCCACAGTTTGTTTGGTAACACTGGCTTTCCAACTAACACTCATCACCTTCTGAAAGCACTTATAAATTATGCCTTGGATGGTGATGAATAGTTTGATTGTTTGTTATATTATAGTCTCTTACTCTGCTGCAGTTGTTTGCAATTGTCACGCAGATGAATACTCAGATGCTAATGCTTGCTAATGAACATGTGTTGCTCTGTAGTTTACAACTGTGAGATCGAAAATGAAAAGTGGTCGTGGCAAATGACTGACACTTTATTTTTGTCAACCAAAGACCGCAAAAACTATTCTTTTTCGTTTGTTTATTCCAATAAATTAGTGTCTCAGTTTTGTCCAATCTAAATTAATTCATTAAACTTAATTAAGATCAACATGATACGATGAAAATTATTTTATTAAAACTGACAAAACTTCATACAAAAATATGTAATCCAAATGCAGAAAATTATTTGAAGTTCATAAAAAAATAATTTTGTTTGTCTTTCTTGCATAAGATACATACTTATTTTTTCATGTAACACAGACGTGCAGTCGAGAACTAATTAAATTGCATTTCTTTAATTGGACGATGAAATTTTTTTAAAGAAAACAGAGTTAATTTTTTAGGTATTTTACCGTTAATTAAATTGTTTTTTTTCTTTTATAGTTAGTTATTTTTCTTGTTAACTGTTTCATAATAATTTTTAAATATTGTCTGAAAATCTGAATATTAGGACCTGGATGCACTTGGCTATCATCAAGATATAACCACAATTATATTTTAATATTGAAATCCTTTTTTATTTTTTTAATGACTTTCAAGTGCCACTGCCACTGTCACACACACACACACGCACACAACCATTTTTGTTATTGTCATCTTATCTTCATCATAGATTTATTTAATTTGCTGGTACTTGGTTATTACAATATTTTAATGTTTTGGGGACAAATATATTTAGTCAGTCCCATTTCATTCTACTCAACATGAAATACTTGGTAGACTGTTTGTAGTCAGTTTAATTCGTTTAAAACCATTAATTGCTGACGTCCGACAAGAGAGCAAACACTCTCACATCGATCTTGTTCGCGGAATCATCGTCAACTCCAGCACTGCAAAGCATTCATTTCCTATTGACATGGGTCTTCGTATTTGCGGTTACGTACGCACATTTATATTGATATGCATATGTATTTAAACATGCACGTATGTGAATATGTGCAGACACTCATACCTGGATGGATGGATGGATGGATGGATGGATGGATGGATGGATGGATGGATGGATGGATGGATGGATGGATGGATGGATGGATGGATGGATGGATGGATGGATGGATGGATGGATGGATGGATGGATGGATGGATGGATGGATGGATGGATGGATGGATGGATGGATGGATGGATATATGGATGGATGGATATATGGATGGATGGATATATGGATGGATGGATATATGGATGGATATATGGATGGATGGATATATGGATGGATGGATATATGGATGGATGGATATATGGATGGATGGATATATGGATGGATGGATATATGGATGGATGGATATATGGATGGATGGATATATGGATGTATGGATATATGGATGGATGGATATATGGATGGATGGATATATGGATGGATGGATATATGGATGGATGGATATATGGATGGATGGATATATGGATGGATGGATATATGGATGGATGGATATATGGATGTTGCAGCTGAGGTAAGTTGACGTTCTTTCTTTTGCATCGTGCATTGTGCTTATACTCTCCCTACACTATTTTCTTGATTCTTTGTTTTTGCTATAAACAATCAGTAGCATACAATTGGAGTTCTGCTGACTAACATAAAATAAGAAGCTGCACGGACAATCGCATCTAATGACTAAACAGAGTAACAAAGTCATCAAACCATTTATAAAAGAGAGATGTTTAACACTATGGAGACGAAAAGCATTTGTCAAAAAAGACTTTTTAGCGTTTTGTATATATTCATCTGTTCATTTTTACACGATCTATTGTATTTCCATTTGGAGCTTAGTAGTAAGTAACATAAGTGGATGTTGCTGAAAGGTGAATGTTATAACTGGAGCAAGTTTGGGATCGTCTAATTGACAATAGAATATATTTAGAAAACGCCGCTCTTCACCGTTTGTCCAATAGTGTAATGGATAGCGTTTTTATCCATATACTTATCTTATTTTTAGTTACTAATTACTAATTACTTACTTATAGTTATATAATTATATATATATATAATTAGTTATATAATTAGTTACTAATTAGTTTATTTATTTTTGCTAAAATTTTATTATTACTTGCATATTTTATTGTTTTTAATTTTCTTATTATTATATAACTAGTCGGAAAGTTATCTGTTTGCAAAATTCATTGAAAAGCGCTGTTGAACATTGCGAAAATAGCGCTTTATAAATGTTTTACATAATTTATTTATTTGTTAAACAAAGAAATTTAAATAAAAACTCTGTTTAAGCGCTACACACGATATATTAACATTTATTGGCTTCCGTCGTTATCGAATTTTTTTGTTTCAAAATGGCGGTTAAAAAATTATCGGAGTTGACTGTTGCCGAGTTGAAACATGAATTGAAAAAAAGAAAATTAGAAGTTGCAGGTGATAAAGCTACTTTATTGGCTCGCTTGAAAAAGGTATTTTTTTAATCTTTGTGACCTAAAAAGTGTCGATCAGTTAAATTTTCACAATCTACGTTTCGTCCGTTTGCGGCCTGCTCTAAGTAAGCGCAATCGGCAATGTAATTTAATTATCGTTTGCAGTTTTTGATCATTCACTATTAACCTTAAAAATAGAAATAGCGCTTCTCAATCAAAGTACGAAGATGGTTTTTTTTAATATTTCATAAAAAATTTTAAAATGTTTATTAAAATATTAAAGAACCATAGAACGACCATCAGACCCCATCATGAAGTTTTAATTTAAAACAATGTATCTTAGTGAATAATTTTTAGTTTTTTTTTCAACTTTTATGATTTTCATTTATTTGGATTAATGCACATAATAATCAAATAAAATTTGAAATATACTACCTGGAAATATGCAAAAATGAAATTTTAACATTAATTGGTAATTGCCAATGGGGTCTATTGACCCCTTGCTATACAATGAGTGTTTTATAAAATGATTTTTGAGTAATACTTTGTATGCTTTACTGTCATTTTCTGAATATTTCAACAAGTTTTATTTGGTTTTTGTTATTGCAAACATGTAAAATGTTAATAGATGAAAACGATACGTTTCATCGTGTTTTGTGGATGTTGCACTTACAGGGTTAAAAAATATTAGGAACATTGATTTTGATTGGTGTTTATAATTAAAAAAATAAATCATTCACATATTTACAATCTGCGATGGCATAGAAATAATGAAAGCTCTAAATTTAAATGAAATGATTACAACTGATCGTCTAATTTGATGTAAAAAGTTGATAGCAAAGAAAACAATGTCCTACCTCGGGAAACTGGGTCAGTGGATGCTAAAGGAAGATTGATTGATTTACAATCTGCACTGACTACCAAGCCACATATATTTAGTTTTTTTGTTGTTGAGTTTTAGCCTATTTGCTGACATCCACTCTTCTGTTCTAATGCCTCTTTTGAATCTGAATTGGTAGCTGATAATTCGCTCATCAATTCCTGAGAACTGCACATCATTTGCCTACAAATGACAGCTGATGTATGTCATGGGATATTGATTTTTATTTGCACCCGTCAATAGTATTAATACTCTATTATTGTTATTAATACAGTACCGATATGTGAATTATATAGTCAACGAACATAACATATACACATATCGAACTAGTTACATTTTAACAAGCAATAGAAATAGACCTTCAAATCATATTTTCTTCTATTATTTAGAATCAATATTTTCAGAGCAAAAAGATTAACTTCTTGTATCAATCAATTTCCTAGAATTTAGTCTAAATTTCTAACAATTTCAATTTTTTGCATTGGTCCATTGCTTTTTGCACAATGAAAAAATTCCCTCAACCGCAACATTTAATTTTGAAGCATGTTAAAGATTTACTTGGAATACAGTGCGGTTGTGAATATCTTTCAAATGTATACTATATTTTTGTTTGCATCATGCATAAAATAAATAAGAAAAAAGGTAGTGCATAGACTAATGGCTGCAGGGTTTGTGGGTGGGGGTCGGTGATTTTTTATAATTGTATAAAAATACAATTATAAAATATAACCAAAATACTTACTAATATATTAATTATAAATAGTTTTTCATTAACTTTCCAGAGTTTGGTTGAAGATGGCAAATTCAAAGCCAATGCTACAAAAAACAAAACGGATGATCAAAGAGTTGTCGAAAGTGGGCTTAGAAAAATATTTGCTATTATAAATAATTTTGTCATTTGTATTTCAATTTGCAGTTGTTTAATTATTGATTTATAATTATTCAATACAGTTAGATATTTAATAATTATATTAGTGTATTAAGTTTAATGACTTTGAAATCATTAAATAGCAATTAAATAGCATAAAATTTTACTTTTTTGATTTTTAATTTGTTTGCTCAGAATAATTGTTCTCTTTATTGAATCTTCTTTTAGTTACAAATTCTTCTGCTGTACAATAATTTATTTAAATTATTATTTCTTTCCCTATGTTATGGTTCAGAAACACCAATTAATACTGAATCTACATCCCAAGAGACAAAAGATGTTGCAAAACCTGATTCCTCTGAACAATTAGCAGCTTCAAGTTCAAAGGTTGAGACAGACATTTCTGCTCTTAAAAAAACTTCCCCTGTAAAAAATGATTGCAAAAATGAAAATTCTTGTTTGAGTTCAATGGGCACAGAGCAGAATAATGAAAATCTGCAAGATCAATCTAAAATGTCTTTAACCAAGACAACTTCTTCAGAATCTCAGATTGATTTTGACACAAAAGCCATAACTGACAACTCAACTTTGTTAGGTTCTATTGACAAAAGTTGTGATAAACAAATAAAACCTTGTGGCAGTGTTAAAGAAAATGTTTTGCAAACAGTATCAGAAAAAATTCCTGAAAATGTAAAACATGTGGCTGCTAAGGAGTTGCCCAAGTCTCAAGAAGAAAATGTAATGAATGCAAAGGTAATTCAAAACAATGTAGAAATTAAACCAATTCCATTTTTAAATGACAACTCTATTCTTCAATCTACTCAGAATCTTGTCTCAGCTAAAAAAGAAGAGACCAAAATTGTTAAAGAAGAGACAAAAATTGTTAAAGAAGAGACTAAAAATGTTAGCATGACAACTGAAATCACCCCAACAGTGAAAAGATCAGTTATACCAAATTCAGAGGCTGTTTTATCAAATCAATCAGTTGGACCAAGTGTTAAGTAAGCGTTCTGTCTTGCAATGGACTTGTTCACTTCAAGTTTTTCGTTTTTTAAATTAAATTCATGTTATAAATTGAATTCCCAATTTTATTAACTGCACTCACTACTGGTTGTGGTTGGACAAACTTTCAACATTCTTGTAAATCAATGGGCTTTTCTCAACTCCAAATATATCTTTGCTATTTGCTTACATTTTCTGTGATGTCTCAAGTTAATGGACTTTGTGGGTTTTATTCAAAATATTGCCAGCTATTTATTTTGGCCCTTTAATGTGCGACGTTTGTTTCTTTATAACCAGCAGCTAGTTTTGTGTTTACCAACCAAAAAATCCAATCTAATTTTTCACCAGGATTCTTTTTCACCTGTGTTTTTTTTTTTGTTGAATGCAATATTTGAAAATTTTTATGTTAATTTATTTTTACTTTTTTCCAATTTTTTCAGAAATGACACAACTAAAAAAGAAGATGAAAAGAAGATTTCTGGTAAGTCAGATAATTGATTTGTTATTTTTTATTAGATTTTTTTTTAATTTTTTTAATTTTGTTATTTAAAAGATCTTCCAAAATCTTTATGGATCACTGGATTAGTTGGTGCTGTTAAAGCGTCTGATCTTAAACAAGCTTTTGGAAAATATGGCAAGGTATGTCACATTTTATTCCATTTGTGTTATTTTGAATTAAATTTGAACTTATTCTTTTGAAAAGGTTTCTTCTGCCAAGATTGTAACCAGTGCCAAGAATCCAGGATCAAAATGTTTTGGTTTAATTGCAATGCAAACTCATGAGGAAGCAAAAGCTTGCATTGTTCAGTTTCATAATAAAGTCTTGCTTGGATCCACTGTTACTGTGGAATTTGTATGTTTCAATATTTGTTTAAAATCTTAATATATGTTTTCAATGTTGCATTATATAATGTTTGAAAGGATGTCAAAAGACGAATAGCAAAACCCATCCAAGAACCTCAGTTGAACGTGGTAAGTAAGAAATTGGAAGCAAAAGATAATGTCCAAAATCTTGTCACCAAAACACCTGAAAAGTTGCAAGACAGCAAAGTACAAGAAACTCATGCCTCTACAACATTTAAAGATAATCTAACAACTTCTACACCTGTCCCTGGAGTTAAACATATTGAACTGGCAACAGTCACACCAATTGCAAAATCTGAAGCTGTGAAATCTACAAATGTTCCTGCTCAGGCAAGTGACAAAAACACATCCCAGCAATCTGTTATTGACAATAAGCCAGTCACAACTAAGCCTGAAAATGAATCAACTTCTGTGTGGCTTAGTGGTTTACCAAGTAAGATTAAAGCAGCTGATTTAAAAACACTGTGTCTAATATCTGGGAAGGTTAGTTGAACAACTTAAAATTTGTTGCTTTTTTAAATTTTAAAATCTTCCATTATTTTTCAAGATAATATTCTGATATTGAAAAGGTGGATATTTAGATTTGTTTGACTGTCTTCTGAATCTTGTGTTCCTATATAATTGGCTTTGTTCTTTTTTTTTTCTTTTCACTTTGTTTTATTATTATTATTTGAATGTAAATCAAAACATTCCAGAAATATTGCTTTAATCCTGAGGCTAAGTTTCTAAAATTGAGCAAGCAATATGGCTTTTAAAATCATTCTTTTAAAATTGGATATTTTATCATTAATATAAACAAAACTAATCAATTTAGGTTCTTGCAGCAAAGGTTGTAGCCAGTTCTAAGTCAGAAACATATTTTGGTTTGGTGACAATGTCCACAAAAGATGAAGCAGAAGGTTGTGTCAAGAAACTTGATAAGCATGTGTATGAGGGAAAACCTTTATCTTGTGAAATGGTTTGTAGTCAATTTATTTCTCAAAAATTTTTGATAAAAAGACAAATTTTCTGTTTTATTGTTCTGATGATACGATATCCACAATGAAAATCTTGAGTTAAAAGTATACTTGAAAGTGCTTAATTACATTTTAACTTGCTGCTTTTTTAATTTTACAATAATTTATTATTGTGTTTCAATGTATTTAAGTGCCTTTGTCGAATATGGACATATTTGCGTTTCTATTAGCTTGATTTAAATTATTTTTGCACCACTGTCAATTTTTCCAACTTTTGTGTGTAACATTTTAGTACCTTGCAAATCATCATTGTCATTATAATGTCGTTTTTATAAATGTTTATTACTCAGGCACCTTATGACAATGTAACTCCTGAACTGCTCAAGCATTTTGCCAAAGCCAAAGATCAACCAAGTAGTAATGACAATAAAAAGGAAGAGAATAAAAAGCCAAATGATGAAACAAAAAAAAAGGATAGTAATGACAATGGGAGTAAAGTTGACAAACATTCTGGCAATGATAGCAGTATGTTTTTTTGCTCTTTTGCCTATGATTGAATAACTGGAGATGGCAACAATGATCATTTGTTATTTTGGTTTCTAGGCTTCTCAAAGAACAAGAGTAGCAACAGTTCAAGAAATATGGGTAACCGAAATAGTGGCAACTATAGAAGGGGTGGTTATAATAATTATAGGGGTGGCAGTAATAGAAATATTCCCAGTCTAATGGAGAGGAGCTCTTTCAACAGATCTAATCAGTTTTCAAGATCCAGCGCTTTAAGTGTAGATCCGATTGTTAGAAACTATAATGTCAAGTAAGAAATTTTGTCTGAATTTTATACATATATATATATATATATATATATATATATATATATATATATATATGTATGTATGTATACAGTTAAAAATATCACTGCATACTTCACATTGTTGATCAACTATTTAAGCAAACTATTGATGGTGCATATACAAATGCAAAAGGTTGTTTATACAGAAATTTAGTGGAAAATGTGGACTGGAGTGGTTAAAAATTTTGCATACAACTTTAAACAATTGATATAAATGTGATAGAATTGACAATACTAGAAGTATTTAAAATTGTAAGTATAAACTTGATATTACAGAAAATACAATGATATTCAATAACAAATGTAAATGATAGCTTATATGTGTATATTAAAATGGATATCTCATCAAATGCTGGTGATCTTATCAATCACCCTGTTTTGTTTTTATTATTTTAAAATGTCTCATTCTACATCAGCTAACAATGAACTTAGAATTTATAGCTCTTGTCATTTTTTCTCAACAAATATTTTTTTAAATGTAGCATGGACAGAAACAGACTGGAGCATGAACAGATGGAAGCAGAGAGAGCCAAGATGTTGCTTTATCAAGAGCAACAGAGACAACAACAGATGTCTGCATTCAGAGATGGATGGTCAGTGATTTGATTTATGGTCGTCACCAATAGTTATTAATCTAAGGATTGTTATCCAACAATCACTTTAATAATAATGGGTTACAATAAATTTAAAGATAGTGAGAAATTAAATCAAATTTCTTTGCCTTGCCCTTGTGGAGTGAGCATAAGGCTCCAGTTTTATTTAGTCAAAACGCAGCCTATATATTTTTTCATTGTTTTTTTCAGCTAGGCAAGTCAATCAGTGATAAAAAAAACTATTCTTTTTTAAACTGGTTTGAATTTAGCTTTTGTTTATCTTGATTGTTATGCATTAAATGTTACAGGTCTCAAGCTCCAAGTAGAATGAAAAGGTCATATGATAGCAATGATGATTTTTACTGGGGCCCTCCACCAAATCAATCAAGTTCAAAAAGATTTGCACCAAACTCTCTCTACCCATCAACATCTTATGATTCCAGAATGGGTTCAGGTCAGATTATTTTCTTCTAAAGCTTAAACTGCTAACGATTGAATGTTAAGATACTGACTTTTTTGTTATATTGTTGCAGGTTCTCAAAGTTATTGGTGATTGAAGGTTGAAAAAGAGACAATAAGAATAATAAATGTTTGTTAGCACATTAGTCAAGATTATTGCTGCTTTTTTGCATGCTAATGTGATTTTAGATATACTAAGACGGTTGTTAAATGTTACAATATTACATTTTCTGTTGAATCATTTTTTAATTCAATAATAGATTTTTAATCAACTTGTTGCTCCCCTGTCTGAAAAGTTTGTGCAAAATTTTTCAATCGTACTTACTATTTCGTTCATTCTATGTAAAATATGGTTTTTATAATTTTTACGCAGACCAGTTGCAAAGATGATTGGTTAAAATTTAGCAAGTTTCACAATAACAAGCAATTGATAATTCAATATAACAAAATCCCAAAAGCAATCAATAATAAAATAATACAAACTAGCATTGATCGAATAAGTATATGGATTTAGTGTTCTATTTAGTCACATCACAGAAAACTACTTATAAAATTAGCAGGAGGATGAGTCCTGCTAAATGTTCAAATATCGGGTCAAAATCTTGAAAGTATGCATACGTGATACTGGTGACAGGGGTATGTATATATGTGGATATATATATATATATGCATGCTCAGATGGATGTCTACATGGAAGATGTGAACCTATAGCATAATAATTAAACAAGCGAAAAAATTTTTCTTAAACTTGCAGTTGTCCGTTTAGACGATTTCTAATTGGGCATACTTGTTCAATGCAGTTACACAAGTGTAGGAATCAATAATTATTAAATAAATAAACTGGTAAGCCACTATTAAAAATGCTGACGTAAACATCATTTATAACATATATAACAAGGAACCTATAACGAATACGCAAATATAAATATATATATTTGTGTAATTCATGAAATTTGTATTCACAATTAAATATGTATAGCATATTGCACTACCTAAAATAATGCAGTCAAAGTATAAACTTATAAGAATTGGTTTACTGAATTTTTAACCATCAAACAAATTGCAAACAGTTCTACTATTAAAATTCTATTAAAAAAAAGTTTCGTTACAATTTTTTAAGCAAAGAAAATGATCGAAATGCTTGAAGAAATCGTCAAAAAATAAATTAATTACAAAATAACTACTAAAAAATAATAGAATCACGAATTTAATCGATAAATAAATTTTCAACTGCTGTTCATCAATAATAACTAAATGTTTATCGGTCATTGCATTTACATTAACAAATAAATTTTAATAATTTATTAACTTTGAATTAACAATAGCAGCGTTGCTTAAGACAACGTTAATATGGTAGTAGTCGTAAATTATTGGGTTAAAAATTCTACAGTTCATCATCAAATCTATGTTAATGAATCGGTTATAAAAAGTGTTCAGTCTGTAAAAGAAGAGTATTTCTGATAGAAAACAGTCATAAAATGTTCATAAAACGATCGGATCACACGTCTAATTCAGTTTTTGTTTGACTCAACTGTCCAAGTAATTTAATCCATGATTTACGATTAACTTTACTTAATCATCAACTTAGATGCGCTGGTGATAGAAAGTTTGTTGAATTGAAATTTGTTGTAAAACACGAGTTGTAGTAAGGCTTCCTTGGGCGTGTTGCAGGGTATTTTGCTTGTAGTTTGTTTGCTCGTAAGACGGTTGCCAGACTGTAATGGCGTTTTGCTGTGGCCAACAGACAATGATCACATCACATAAGACGACGCGCACACCAACGAAATACTAAAAATAATAACGGCAAAGATAAAGTAAACAAGGGAGAATTACAAATTCAACCAAGTAAAGTTCATGACTCGTAACAGTCTGTGAAAATAAATTATAATGATAGAAATATTAATAGAAGTAATAATAGAGTAAAAAATATGGATCACATTGAAAAGTTAAATAGAAAAATTTCAATAAATAATGAAGCGATTGATTAAAAGGTGAAAATGACACAATTTAAATAATCTTAAGCAGTTGTTTCAGTTAATGTATTGAACAGTTCTCAATCTTATTAAATAAATTTGTAATCACTCTTTTTCCCGTCATATTCCACAGTCTAAACTGAAATGAAAAATAAAGTAGTTTTAAATGTATCGAATTATAAATGCATTTTTTTATTCTTATTAATTATTAAATTCAATGAAACAACAAAATTTTCTTTCCACTAAAACAAGGATTCCATCCACTCAACGGTTACGTAGTTAACGCCTAAAACAAATGAAACCGTACCTACCATTGTTAGCTGGGAAGTCGAGGATAGCCATATCAGACTTGGGCATGGGGTGTGGATAGTTGATGGCTCCTGGCCCCACTTTAAATTCTCCACCCATGTACAGACTGAGTGGGATGGATGAATTCATGCTAATAATATAAATAAAATAAAATTATATTTTTTATAATGAAAACAATAAAGACGTCCTAATCGGATTTAGGGGTGTAGAAGCCCTGAGGCAACAATGAAGTGGAGGCTCCTTACTGTTTTAAAAAGCGACTTCTTTCCATGAAATCTTACGAAAAGTTTTTTACAATGTTTTCTATGAAAACCACTGTTTTAATGAGCATTGTCGGTGAAAATGCGAACAAATAAGTTTAGAGGAATAAACGTAACAGTTGCTGATCCGATGTGTAATTTGTATATTTTTTGTCATTGTAATAGGAGATACCACGTTAGGCAGCAGTTGCGCTAGTCACCTCCTCTAAATCTGGCCTTCGACGTCGATGCTGTAAATCTTCATTATCGGTAAACTGGCAAGTCTTATAAAATCATGCTGTCATTTGCAACAAAGTTAACCCCAACAATCTGTACAGCTAAATGCATACGAAGTTAGAGATAAAAATATTGTTCATAGCAATATTTAGAAACATAAAACCTTATATTATTTCAAAAAACTTATATTATTTCAAATTGCAGTCGTAACACAGAATTATTTAATAATATTAATAACATCAAAATGTACAAGAATTCAGTGAATGCACTAAAGTCAAAAAACAATTGCTTATACTTTTACAAGAAATGCTAATTCCAACTAATACAATTTAATTTAATTTTTAAATAATCCTACGTGCGAAATAGAAGACACAGATGAAATTTAATTGCATCTGATATGGATAGATTTTACTTTAATTAATCAAAGCAAATCTAACGGCTTGTTAAATGAAATTTATAAAATTGCTCCTCATCATTAATTCCCCTTTCAAAAATATTTATTTACATTTAATTTCCATTTTAAAAATTTCATCCTTATTTATACTATTATCTGCAACAAATAAAAGTTGAGACAAAAATATATTTCAGTTTAATTCATGGGACTGGATTATTAAGAACAACCATTCTTATTTATAAACATTTCAATATTAATTAAAAAATAATCATACGGATAAATTTTTCGATAGCAATTTAAAAAAAATCCTCTGGTTGCTTGACTCATTGCTAACCTCACGTCAATTTATAGAAAAAATTATTACTCAACTTTGAGATTTTGCATCAGCACTTTAACAACTAATATAAAAATACACACCAAGTGAATTTAGAGCTAGCACAATCAAAGCCGATGTATGAATAAATTAATAAAGTTATAACAAATTAACAAGCAGTTGAACATGTAGGTTGATTAACAAACCTCGGATTATCGACTTCTGAAAACTTTTGACATCCGTTTATGAAGATCACTTCATAACCATGGCACTGAGCCTTTTGATCATGCAATTACAAAATTATAAATATATTTTATAAAAAAAATTTAATTATAATTTATCATGCAACGTATTATATAATAAAGAGTAAATGTATGTATATATATATATATATATATATATATATATATATACAACAAAAATATACTGTATAAATGAAATTCATCAAAAGATGAGAAAATTAAATGAGTAATAAAGATCTAGAGATATTATGTTAGTTGCATCATTAAGAATAATTTCTAATAACAAAACTCAATTAACAAAAGCATCCCTACCAGCAGAACATAATCAGATGACCTCTTAATGATAAATTTTATGAATCCAAAAATATTTCAACTCAAAAAATCTAAAAGAAAAGAACAAACCGATTAGAAAATGTCTGAGGATTCAAACAGACAACATGAATAAAAAGTTTATGAAGTCAAAGAAACCAACCATGTACATGCAGTGGTGCATTTCGTCCGCCTGTGCGTATGTATGATCTATTATTACCAAGTTTTTGTGCTTGCCCAATGCCTCAGCCACTTCAAATAAAATCAAAATTAATAATTAAAAAATTATAACATTTCTATAACAATTAAAAAAAGACATTAAAAAGTGAAGAAAAATATTATGTTGTTGCCGACAAGGTAAAACCAGTTTGCAAGTTTGCTCGGAATATAAGCGCACCAACTTTTTACAACAACCATCATTCACACGTACACACACGCGCAAGCTTGAGGTGGAAAACACTTTTGGAAATTGACGGAATAAATGTCAGATGTATAAGTGAAATGTTAGTTGAATAAAATATTAGTGGAATAAAATAGAATCATAGTTTAATGACATCCTGTTTATAAATTAGATGTCATTATCATTTTCAGCTCATGCCCTTTTTTCGTATTCAAACTAAAATACTGATTATTTTTTTTTATCTTTCAGCGACATTATTTCAACTTAAAATTCTTCTTATCACACTGCTCATGACCGCTTCGAGAAACGTAAAATGAAATTTGCACTTAATTAAAAGAAATGACGGCTAAATAAAAAATCAGATATAAAAGCGAACATCATGGTAGATAGATAGATAGATAGATATCAGAATGGAGGGTAAACATAGCATCAGATCATTATCAACGACATAACACCATGTTTATCAAAACCAACATCGCTCCATTAAAACTCATTAATAATGTAATGATGAATGCACACACACACACTTGCGTGCACATTCCCCCACACACAAACACACACACACACACACTTATATATATATATATATATATATATATATATATATATATATATATATATATATATATATATATATATATGAGAATGAAGGTGTAGGGGACTAAATATATTCAATTTTCAATATTTATTTATTCAACAATTCAAATCAAACATATGTAAGAAATGAAAATGATACAAATATTCCTCAACAAAGGTTATAGAGTTCAAAAACATAATATCCCTCATGATGGCAGAGATGAGCAGAGCAACATAAGGGACAGCATGTTGATTTTGAAATTTTGAATATGGAAGTTTGGAATCAGATGAAAGTCGGCTATCTGTTCGTTTGGTGAATTCAGCATCAGTGCCACAATAAATTCCAGTTTCAAGTCATTCAGCCAGACAGAACAAGAAACTCTTTAAATGAAAACCGATTTTTTCTAACATAGGATGAATTTGAATCTATGTTGAGACTTATCTGTTTCTTTGGCTATGTGATGTTGTTTTTGTCTTACACCAATTCAGTTAAAATTAGAAAATAAATTAAACAGATAACGAGACGACCACACACATAGACCAGACTTACGTGGAATGATTTCGTGCATAAACATTTTTAATAAAAAAATTTCAATTCAGAAGATATAGAAAACTAAAGATGGAGAAATAAACCAGACTTGAGCATACTTGAGAGGTTGAGAAAGATTTTAAAATTCTGAATATACACAAAGTGCATCAATTAGCAACAGTAATTATATATATATATATATATATATATATATATATATATATATATATATATATATATATATATATATATATATATGCATCTATAATTTGTTATTAGATAGATCATATGTTACGATAGCCATGAATAATAAACTTATCCAAAAACAAATGACATGATGATATTTTTAACAAACTTTTATTGCATAAAAAATAAAAATGAAACTACTTGGAACATTCAGTTTGTAGGAAAAAAATAACCACAAATGTAAACCTCTAAAACGTTAGCGAATTCTGTGATTGATGATACATTAGTATTATAGTTGAACATATTTATAGATAATTAAATCATAGCCCTGTGTGTTTGTTAATTAATCAATAACAAATTATAGAAAGTCAAACAAATGTCCATAGAGCATGGATAGTGCAGTACAACATAATATAACTTACATTCAAAAACAATATATAACAATCCTCATAAAGATATCCACACAGTCACTGATAAATAACATACTCTTAACCACGCCTTAATGGCAAAACGGCCATCAGTCAGATGAAAGGAATGCCATATGCACCATATTAAACTGACAAATTAATCTTCAACAAAAATATCCAGAAAGAGATAACTTAATAAATGAATAATAATATTTTTCTGAAAATAAATGGAATGGACTGAAACTGTGAAATCAAAAAAATCAGCCAAACATCTGTACCTCAACTGCAATGACTCGTCGAAGATAGTTGGCCTGCCTATCATATTCTGGACAAATATGTTGCACAGCAGATTTCTTCAGTGGGATAAATTTGTTAGGGATGATTGATTCAGTGTAAGGAACAGATAAAATACAAATCTTTCAACTTTGAAAAGCAGCAAATCCTGCTAGCATTACAGATGACAGAACAGATATCAGTCATTACTATATTACAATGCACTACAAACCATAATAACTTTCTTCATCATTAACAATAATACTATCCTCACTGTCACAGAGTTAAAAATCTTCAGTCTCAAGCAGCCTTTAGTTTTCCTGACAGAACCAAGAAGCAAAATGCTTGATAAAGTTTTATCATTTGAATTTCATTATGTTCTAGGAAAGTACACGGTGCAACAAAAAAATTTGTCAAGGCAATGAACATTTTGAATAAAGATATATAAAAGGAATTGTGAGAGACATAGATGTAGCAGCTAAGCAACAAAATAAAATAGACATAAGAAAATATTGATAAAAAAACATCATTGTTAAAAATGTTATAGCAGAAAAGGGTCTGAATTAATTAAATGTATATAAACAAAATACTGTCATATTTGAGAGAATATACATATAATCTTACAAGTCCATGTAAACAAGTGGGCACAAACGCAAACTGAAAATAATGTACTCAATAAAAGACTTGCTATTCTAACAAAAAACACAATGAACGGATCTATGTATATTTGTGGTTCTCATTCTTTTGTATTCCTTATCAATAAATACATTTCTCTATGTATCTATACATATACAATCACATTTATATATACATGTAAATATCTTATGCAAATACATTTATCCACTGAATGCTTCATCTGTTTACCTAAGCATATACCTCTAGTAGTAATAACCATCTCTTCTACAAGCATGTCTATAACTAGATGCTCCCGATAGCAAAAGATAACACAGAAAAATATGTAAACAAATGAAATGCACAAAATATTGGTATAGGTGTATAAGAATACAAAAATATTTTCATCTAAATATTGTATTTATTTATATATTTTTTGAAAATTAGAATAATTATTAAATTTGAAACGGTTGTTTATCGTTATAAAATAAAGTTTACTGAAATGCTAAAACTCATTAAGTTTTTAATACTGTTTTGCTTGCAGCTGCCATTACCCATTACAACCAAGCTGTGATTAGAGATTTAAATAAACTATTTATAATATCCCTTGTTTAGTACTATTCAACTAATTTGTAAAAATATTCCATCAAGTTGAATATGCAGTGACTGAATCATCTGCCATCAATCAGCAGGCAAGCTGTCAACAAGTGAATAGGTACAGAGAGAATAAAATAAATTGAGTTCTACCAAATATTACAGACACAAATTATTTGAAAGAAAAACTTTTGTGACCAAAGAGATTAATTTAAATTATATGTGTTCCATGAGATCATAATACATTAAGGTTCGTATTAGACTTCAGTGTTATTCACAGCGTCTAATATGGCATCCAGCAAGAAATTTGAGATACCTAGTCTCAAGTTAGAGAGATGTGTTAAGCCTGTGTTTGTCTTCTTACATAAATCTATGAACACCTCAAAACGAATCATGTTTAAACCATCCCAATCTAACACTTCCTAACATGTTGAACCGCTTATGAATGATTTTTTAGTAAGAATCTATCCACATGTTTTCCAGACCTTGTGATCTTTCTTCATTTACATTTACCTAGGCACCTCCATTTCTGCAGCATGCCTTCCTTTATTTATTTAATCAATAAATTACGCTCATACACAGCCAGGTCTTTAGGAAAAAGGTATGTGATTTTTTGTTGGATTTATACACGATCAAACTGAACCATAATTAACATGCGTGACAATGCAATCCGTTAGATTGATTTATACAGCTATTTTCCACTGTATATTGAAAGCTGTTTTTTTTATCATCATTACAATGGCTTTATCACAAAACAAGCCTCAAAAAAATTAACGACAACGATACAAAAAAGTTAAATAAAAAAAAATTAAATTTACCATTATTCGAAAGTAATTTAGTAAGCAATGAGTGAAACACATGGAAAAGAATGTAACTCTCCAGGAATGTGTGCATATCAATAAACAAAAAATGTGAAACACTCTTAAAACTCTGATAGTGCAGCACGGGCACACACACACTTATATACATACATAATACATACATACATACATACAAACAAACAAACATACATACAAACATACATAATATATATATATATATACATACACACACATATGTATCTAGATGCATATATACTAACCAGTACATAAGCATACATGTCTAACATAACATTACACAAGCAATGTTTGACCAACTGTTAAAATATAAAAAGATCATATTCCTAATGAAGCATTCAATTTGATGATAATGCCTTTTGACACATTTGCATAAATCACATCCAGTCGTGATCCCGATGAGTTCAGTATTGTTCTAAGCAGAAATTTTGTTTCTTTTACAAACATTACTAAGGGAAACATGACAATATTTAGGCAGATATAATTTTTTCACTTCTACAACTTAGGTACTACAATCTGTTTAAATATATAAGTAAATTTAATTTGGGATGATAAAACTGAAAACTTTTCTCCACATTGCAATGCCTGATGGCGGAATGATTCCACTTTTTGTATAAAAATAAGACGAAAATTTAAAAAGATACATCCTGCAAGTGATGCAAGCACCCGCAAAGTGAATATTTTCATGCAGCAGAATTAGGAAACAAGAGAGTACGCAATGAAAACCACTATGAAAAAATAAAGGAACAAAGGTTACCAAGTTGTAGGTTGCATTATGCTAAAATGCATCAAATAAATATTCTTTAATCTATTTATTACGGTTGTATAAATCTGCAAGAGAAGGCTTTTTTATTAAAATTTCAATAATGTATATATATATATATAAATGTTTGGCAAAGCATCTAAAGCTTGCATTTAATAGGGAAAAAAGTTTTTAAATGAGCATCTCCCAAACGCACAAAAAAATAAGATATAACAAATATAGACTAGAGTTAAGTTATATGTCAATTCAACTTGTTTGATGTCCTGCCCAGTTTTCCAATTGATCAACTACCAGACATTATGTGGTTGTATCACATTTAAATTTTAAAGCATCCACAGTGAGCTAGAAAACTCCAGCACTGCAACTGATACTTTAACACCATATCAACTTTTCAAACATTGCTCACTAAACATTGAACTGATCAGCAAAGGAATGTAGTTGTTTAGCCTGTACTAACGCTATCATGCATTATAAATGTTTGGGGAAAAACTGATACAAAAATTTTGAATATCATAAGCACATTCAAAATACAATAAAATAGTTCACTTTAATCAATTCTTACTTTAATACAGATAGAATATGCACTAGAACACAATAAAATAGATTAAATAAGCATTATTGGTAATAAAAAAATAAAATTTTTAAAAATCTTTTCAGCTAAACTCTCAAATAAACATGAAAACAGCAAATATAACTTGAAATGGTTTAAAAAAATGTGAAAGAATAATAAAATGTAAACAGATGAATAGTTAAGTAAAAGCATCAAACCTTGTTTATAGTTCCACTCTCTTTGTTCTTTCAATTTGCTTGGTGACAAGTTAGGACCAGGAGGACCATTGTGAAGGTTCAACACAAACACTCCATTCATGTTCATCTGCAGTTTGCTATGTTGAAAATTTAATGAAAATAATGAACACCTTAACTATTTTTATAAATTTATGTAATTAAATATTAGAAACTCGTTAAAATTTATTATGAATATAATGATCTAAATACATCCAACGAACCTCAATTTGTCTCCTTGAGGATTGCCAACCAGGATGACCATGACAAACAATCCTTCATTGAGCATTTGCATAACTCTCTGCCTACCTATTTCAACGGGGTAGGTTTCCAAAACATCACCAGCTGAATAGTTCATAACAGTGTTCCAATCCTGTTCTACATCAATTTGAGGGAGGTGATCAACAAATTGATTGCCTGCACTTTCAATGTGATCATGATGTTGAGGGTGGTTGTAGCCATGATGGAACCAAGGTGCCTGAGGTATGTCCCCAGATGGTAAGTCAGCATTGTTGACGGACACCCATGGTTGAAATGCTTGATGACTTGAAGGATAATCTGGTCTGATAAACATCGAGTTACCACCATAAAAATTGTTGTAAGGAACCCCAGAAGAATATGGAGGCATAGGAGCAAAATTGAGCATTCTCATCATACCAGCTTGAGCATGATGGGATAGAATCATTCCGTTGGGAAGTGATGGAGGAGGACCCATTGGCATAGGTGGATACATTGATCCCATTTTAAACAAATATGGAGAGTTATTTCTTGAAACATTAGGATTAATTAGTTGTTGAGGTTGCTGGATTTGCGGTTGGTTCTTTTTGTTGTTGCTGTTGTTGTTAACTTGTTGCTGGTTAACATCCACATTTAATGCACCTGGTAAAAATGCAATGTTATTATCAACAGGCTTAGCATCCGTGTGTTGAGATTTTGTAGCAGATGTATTCTGTTTTGCTTGGAATTGATTGGATATAAATATTGGAGCATCAACTTTCAAATTGGTTTTCTTGTGATGAGACATAGGATAACCCATTAGGTGATCATTATGAAAATAAACGCCACTAACATCATAATTATGACTTGGTTGTTTTGAAGTTAAGTTAAGATATCCAGTTGAACTGTGGGCAACATCTAAGGAGTTGAATTCCCTACTCCGAAAAGCATCCGTAGAATAAGATAAAAATCCTTTGGGGTTCACTTGGACAGTTGTAGGTTGGGGTAAATCTAAAGTATTCAGTTGTGATTCAGAGTTAAATCTTGTGTGAGGCATTCGAAAAAGTGAATTAGGAGACAGTATCACAGGATTAGGCATGGGAGGCTTGAATTCATAGGCCATCTTGCTTTCTTGAAATGGTGGTGGATTGAATGGACATTTATCTTTCAAGCCCGGAGTAGTAATGCCCTCATCGGTGTATTGATCCAGATCACTTAGCAAATTGCGAATTATTTTTTTAGTTTCTTCCAATTGCGTTTGTTTTGACTTGGTACGATCCTTTTCGGCAGAGCTGGCTGTAGAAGGTCCAATATCCGAACCAACCGTTAATCGAGAAGGTGGCTGTCCATATAAAGATGCATCTTTGCCATTCCCATTGAGTTCAGGTAAACTTTGTAATGCAGGCTCGCTTCCACTGATCCTATTCTGACCTGTTTGTAAACGTCTGAGAAATCTTGGTGGTAAACTATCCATGTGCTTTATAGCCACCTTCAACTGAGCTGGGTAGATGTTAATGCCTAGCATGCCAGTCACTGAGTTTTTAGTGATGTTTTCCACATTTTCATCAGGAAAATTTCCCTTTTGATGCCCTTCAACATTAGGAAAAAGTTTTTTTGCTGTTTGTTGCTCTTTGGACAACTTGTTAATGTTGTTTAGAAAATTGATTTCTCGGTTTCTTGCAAAATCTTTAACGTTATTGTTTGCGTTATTCATATTGTTTTTATTAAAATTCATTCTGGATAGATCCTTTCCATTGTTAACATTATGTCTTCGAATCATTTCTTTATTACCATAGATTCGAGCATTTGATGCATGATTCACCTTTGGTCTAATATTTTTAGGGGTTTCTCTTTGATTGCTAAACTTATCACCAAATTCTTTATTTTCGTTAGTAAACTTCGGAGAATGCTTTTCGTTACTAGAATCTCCTCCTGTATTTTTATCATTTTCAACATTTTCATCTGAGCTCTCTTCACTATCAATGGCAGCATCATCCAAACCAACAATGATTACATCTTCAATTAAACTTTCAAGAGCTTCTCTCTCTTCTGGATTCAAAGATAAAGTTTTTTTTCTGTGACCTCTTCTAGGATATTGATTGACATAGAGGGCCTCTGTATCCAAGTGTAATCTACCTTCGGTGGACCTTGCTGTGGATGGTCTCTGCAAAATTTTAAATGACTTCTTGTCCAAATTATTGAAAGACTCATCAGAGTTAGGGCTTGGTTTTAAATCTGGCGAACCAATACTTGAAACAGGAGATTCAAAATTTTCATTTGCTCCCAGATGGTCTTTGGATGGGCTCTTGTGAGAACTGTTGAGAAAATACGTTTGATCTGTGCTACAGTTTTGAGGCATTGCAGATGGTATATCAATAGTCAAATAGCTAGAGTCAATACCATCGTACATTTTAACAAATCATTAATTTTGCTTCATTAATTCTTCAATATTTCTTCTGTTTCTTGTTTCAGTCTTTTATAATCTTTTACTTCAGATTATCTGTGGATAAAAAGTGTTATCAATCATTAACCAGCAACAAGTTTATTGATATTGATTATTATATTAATTATAATATTTAGAATTATGAATTGAATCAATATTTTTAAAATTTTCTGATTCAACGGGTTTTTAGAATGAGTTCAGCAAGGCAAAAAGATGTTAATGAATTGTGAGAACTTTATTAAATAAACTTTAATCATCTTAAAGGCGTTGACCGTTGAGAATCCATGTTTGTTTTATTTTATACGCCGTTTTGCAACTTACACAGTACAGTACAGTACAGATACTTAAAAACCCTTAGCCTTTATCAAGCACCAGACTGCTTCACGTTTTTGCAAAATATGCAGCAAAAATAAAACTGAAATGAAACAAAACATCAAATCGCTTCAAAAATAGCTCATATTTCCATTTCTTCTACATATTTCTCGCAAACTGAAAGTCACAGGTTAACAATTTACGAACCATATTAAATTTATACGGCATAAAATTAGCAATTTAATTTAATGGTATGGACTATGGAGTGTGAACGTTGAAAAAAATGTTACAACAAATCTTTAAAATAATTTTTTTAAAGATTAAACCAGAAAAGTTACAAAAGTTTAGAAAAAATTAGTTAATAATTAATGAGGAAAATAAAATAATTTAGAAGGATACTACCACGAATTAACCAGCAGCTGATATTATAGACGTTGGTGTGGTGACTAAATGAACTGTGTATCAAGGCCAAAAATAGAAGTCTATTTAAATCCCTTTTTGCGATGTGGAGTGCAGATCTTGCCCAACATCAAATTTATAACTTAAAAAAAAATTAAATGTATAATGGGAAATAAAAATTAGGAGGAAATTATTATTTAACGCTAAATTTCGTTTTTTATGTAGGCAAGTAATTTTTTGAAATACTTTGCATACAATTCTTCTTTTATAGTTATTAATAGTAATAATAAATAACTTTTTAATTATCTATTATTTAATTTATTAATTATATTCATATTTTTTAATTTTGAAGTTATTTGAATGAAAACGTGGATAAAAATAGAACAGCTTAGTGTAAAGTAAGCTGATAAAGTTGTACGCTTTATAAGCTCTCGTCGTCACTGCGCTCCTCAAAACTTGCTGCTGAGATTTCTCCATTGAATTCTTCGTTTGTGACTTGAGTACGTTTTGAATTTTGTTTTGTTATAAAGCTTTCTTTAATTTAATTGCTCTCAAATTTTATATTTTTTAGAATTTTTTACGGCAATATTTCAATTATTAAATTTTTATTTTCGATTTGTAATTACCGCAACGCTCCTTGTAAATAATTAAAATTATAAAAATAATTGTTTTCATGTATTTTCCATTTATTTGGCGTTTTGATTTTAAAATTTTAATTAAAATTGACGCTGTGGTATAGAGGGTTACAGGCCTCCGACATATTTTTTTGCTGTTGTTTTCGTCTGCTGCTTAATTTTAATTATTAACTTGTTTCTGTTAACAGTTTTCATATCCTTTGTCCAAGGCAAACAAAATGGCTGAGCACCACAAAGTACCTCAAGGCATTGAAAAGAAAGACATCACTGAGTTTGACTCCTCGAAACTCAAGCACACTGAGACTCAAGAAAAGAATGTCCTGCCATCTACCGAAGGTAATTTAAAAATATTTAAAATTTTTACTTTTTCAAAAAGCCAATGTCAATCTTTTAATTTTTGATAAAACACAAAACTTATTTAATTAATTTAATTTAATTTGTGATTTTTTAATGAATTATTTGCATTTGTCTACTTTAATTAATTTAACACATGGATCATGTTTTTTGATCATGGATCATGGATTTTTGACAAAACACAAAACTTATTTAATTAATTTAATTTGTGATTTTTTAATGAATTATTTACATTTGTCTACTTTAATTAATTTAACACATGGATCATTTATTTGTTAAATCAGCAATGTCAGTTTCTTCATTGTTTCCATTTTTTACTTTTGAAAAAAAAATTCATATATGTAAGTCTTAACTTAATTCAATAAGAACTGAATAAGAAAGAAGTTGAGTACCACTTATCTTTCAATGCTTCATTTTAATAGACATCTAGTAATTCACATCTCTAACTTACAATGTTTAATGATTTGTATACAATCAATATTACAATTAAGCAAAATTTCAATTCTGGAAAAGCATTCAACTGTTTTTCTTTCTGTCTTTCTTCCTTGCTTATTTTTCAGATCTGTCTCTAACCTTTATTGTCATACTATAATAGAGATGAGGAATCACTTATTATTATCAACAAAATTTGACATTTTATAAGTTATCTCAAGTAATAAAATGTTTCTCTTTTACTTTGTTTACAATGCCATGACATTAATCAATCATTGATGTTTTCATTTAGTGGCATATTGATAGAGATGTTACAATGTTGAAAAAAAATTTTTTAAATGATTTATAACATTAACTAGGCCTATTATAGTAATATATTACTGATTAATTTACTTTTTTTTTGGGGGGGGTGAAAAATTTTAAAAATTACATTGCATGGCTATACAAATTAAAGTATTTATATTTAACTTATGCAATAATTTAGAGAATTTATTTCAAAAATATAAATTATGATAAATCTAAAAATCAACCCTTGCCTTTGCTATAAAGGTTCTTCTTGTTTCATTCAAATGTTTCATTCAACTGAGTAATATTTTTTTCTCTTTCTCTCCTTTCTCTTTCTGTCTGTCACTTTTTGTTCATGCTCATGATATATTCCAGATTATCATTTTATTTATTTTCATATTATTTCGTAGTGCTCATATTTAGATGACTCAAAACTTCCTATCTTTGCATATTGTTAACAGATGATAAAGTTATCAAATAACAATGTTAAATATTCAATTTTTTCATATTAAAATTTTTTGAAAAGGGGCATCCTGTTACAAATTTGTTTCAATGTTCACTATTGAACTGTTATTTTAATTTGAAACTTAGTTATTAGCCATGAGAAGACATTGCAAAACATTGAGGGTTTTGACAAGACCAACCTAAAGCATACAGAAACTGAAGTAAAGACTGTTCTGCCTGACTCTGATGGTAATGGGGATGGTGATATGGTGATTAAAATGAAAATAATGATAATGATGAGTTCATGTAATTATGAAAATGATGATGATGAGTTTTTATGATGATGATGAAATATAACAAGGGTTTTTTATGCTGGTTTTAATGAATAGTTCCAAAGTTTGAAATCAAATGAGTGGGATGCTTTACAAGTGGTTGTTCTTACATTAGAACATATCTTAATGATGCTGGTGATTAATTGATGAAGATGGTGATTATGATGATGATTAACTATCACATGTTTGTCCAGTTATAATTTGGTCTGCCCCTTTTTTAAACCAGTATGTAATGTAATTATTTGAACCAATGTGTATGAATAAAAAGTTTGATAATTTCAAAAGTAGAAGTGATGTACACTTTTGTTAAATACCACATTGTTAGCTGCATGTTTCAATTCAGTGCACATATGTGAAGCTGAATATATGAGGTTGACTAAAATGATAAATATTGTGATCTGGCATGGGTGGTTATGATATGAATTCTAACCTAATCACTGTGAATATTTAATATGTAAGTTTATTTGCTTAGCTTCTACAAATATAAGATGTAATCAATTTATTTGCTTTAGTACTCATCATATATTCGTGTTATTTAGTTGAATCATTTATAATGTACAACACACCTGCTAATTGATAGAGTTATAATATTGACTGAGACATATTATATTTTTGTTATTTCATTGAAACAGTCATCACTCAAGAGAAAACAATACAGCACATTGAGGCGTTTGATAAAAAGAATTTGAAGCATGCTGAAACTGAAGTTAAAACAACGTTGCCTGATAAAAGTGGTACGTTTCTATTTATTTTTATCAAATTTTTTCTTGTTTTTTAAATGTCATTGGGTTGTAAACAATGTTTTTATGTTCTGCAACTGTTTTACTTCAATATTTTACTGATGTTAGATCTATCAAATTATGTTGAGGCCTTTCAACTTTATCTGGTTCATGAGATTACTCATTTGTTCTTCTGACTGTTCATTATTTCTTATCATTTATGTAATCTGTGAACAAGTAGATGTAAGCATGCATGTTTGTTGAACTGATTGTAAGAAATTCTCACATTTTGTATACACATGTATGAGTATGTATGTATATATGTTATATATGTGCATGCGTATATGTATATATAATATATTTGCAGATATAAATACACATGTAGCTTTACCTGTGAGGTGAATTTGTTGTCATTGTTGCTTACCTGTTCAATTTTAAAGTGTTCCTTTGTTAGCTTACGACAACAGGACATCACTATCATTATGACTTCATATCCAACACATTTTAATAAATTTGCTTCAATCATTCAACGTTGTTGCCACATCATGCAGAGTTTATTTTTAATCTTTTATTCAAAATCACTCACACACTCATTTGTTTATGCATGTTTGTGTAATAAATATATATTTAAATAATATATTATTTATGTACATGTTCACACATACATATGTATCCCTAATTGTATGCTGTGTTCTATGAATTTGTAATAAGATTACATTCCAAAAGCTTTGCCTATGTTTAATGCTCTGCCGTACTAGGCACACATTATCTTGTATCAGCACAGCATTCACCTTTCTTCTGTCAGCATGAAGAAACTCATTAGTCTTCTTATCCTGATTAGAAAAATTTCTATTAGCATATGTTATATTAGCATATGTTATATTTATTACTAATCGTGTTTCATAATTGAGCAAAACAAGTGATTCATTGCAACAATTTCTTTATTAGTGTTTTATTCACCCTCCATTCAATGAAAATTGTTTGCTGTCACAGTTTGACACACTTCCTCATCACACTTCTTTAAATGATATATTTGAAGATAAGAAATTATCCACCATAATAGTGATTAATCAGGAGAAGACTATACAGAACATAGAGGGGTTTGACAAGTCCAACCTTAAGAGGGCATCTACAGAGGTGAAAAATCCACTGCCTGACAAAAACAGTAAGTAACAGTATTTATGTATGTCGCCTGCTTGCTATGCTCACTGGTTGGTTGTTTAGTTGTTTGTTGAATGGTTGGTCAAATGCTCTCTTTGTTCAACTTGTTCTTTGGTCTATTTTGTTTAGCTAATATATTTCACACTATTTTTCTGGGGTCTATTGTGTATAGTTGCATTTGCATTGTTTCTATGAACATGAACAATTATTTAATTGAATATTTGTCCACAGCTATTGAACAGGAGAAGCGTTTGAGTGGCTGCAATTGATTGGCCTTTTTGATGAAACCCATCATAATTTGGATTTAATAATTATTCATTCATTTATACATGAATATTTATTACTTATAAGTTACATTTCAAAAACTTTTTTGTTGACCAAGTTGCACGTCTATATTTACTATTACGCATATTTTACATTTTGTTTTTGTTTGTGATCCAAGTGATATCAGTATGAACTAAACTTGCAAAAGGTTAAAGTTGAAATTTTGTTCAAACAGTGTCTCCTGCGAGAATATATATCGAAAATAAGAGTTATATTAATTGATTAGTTTACAATGAGCTGCTACATTTTTGTGTTCAAAATTGATTTGTGCCTATCTTACCATATAGCAATTTGTTCTATTGTAATATGCTAATGCAGGTTAATAATATTCCTCATTCCAAAGTATTTCCACCAGATAATTTTGTTTTTCATATTCCACTTGTTATTTTTATTCCACTTAAATGATGATGTTGGATCAAAAATTTTCACTGGTTTAAGTTACAGCTTATAATTATTGTTTTTGTTAGCATTCTGAAAGTTTTGTAGCATTGTTCATGTTGGATTTATTTTTTATTCAAAGATTTAAAATAACTCAAAGCATCGATTTTGCGTTCGTGAACTTTATTGTTAATGAATAACCAACTAGAAGATTAAACTCCGTGAGATTTCATTATTCAAATCAATTCCATCATCATCTTTATTGTTTATATCGTTCTTTGCTACTTCTTAGCGGTTGCCTTTGCTTGTTTTTAAGATTAATGTTAATGTTGTGAGTAGTCGGTTATGATATTGTGGTTATGGATAAGTGTAGGTGCGTATTTGGTGAAAAATTTCAAAGATAAACTAAGTAAAAACAGTAAAAAGGAATTTCATCTAGTAGAATGTCCTATTCCCTAGCTTAACAAAACATAATTTGCTACGAGTAACAGAGTATAATATTGCTCACATAAATGTAAACCAGATCGAAATACTCATGTTTCAATTGGTTATTATATCAAGTCATCTGTCATTTTGATATTTATGTATTACAGCGGTAAAATGTTTAGAGAATGTAAAGCTTATATATTTACAGATGCCTCGCATAATTCTATACAAGTTATTAACCGGTTGGGGCAATGAAAATTAACATTCAGGCAATTGCGAAAAGTGATAGCGAGCGAAAATTTTTTTTAACCATCTTAAAAATTTATTGAAATTTAAATCTGGTAGATGCAAGCAGATTTATATTTTTATCAGTTTTTTTTTAATTTCGCAAAGAATTTCCTGATGAAGATAACACATTTCAACAAGGACTACGTAAGAATCAACGTAAAACTGGTACTACCTCTTGATTCTGATTTTGTCACTCAAATGAACTATCGAACGGATGATTAGGCCCTCTTGGTGCGAACAGCAAATGCGGAGGAGGTGGAAGGAAAGGTGGAGGCAATCTTAGGAAATTGAACAGTTACAAAATTAGTCGATCTATACCACATGTCATTCTTGTTCATGATATATGGAGTCAATTCATTGTTATAATTTGCATTAATTATCGTGCTATAATATGAAATGAGTGCAAATCAAGTGAGAACCTTGACAGATGTGGTGGCATCATTGGAGGAAATCGTGGTGGTTCAGCTAGAAAGGATAAATAACATGATTGTTTACATAACTGTCGCGTTTCATTTCATATCCTGGATCATTATATATCAAATAAAATCAAATAAATGTGTGTAGTGACACTTACGTTGGAATGTGGGCCTCACAAGAACAGGGGATCCAGCGCTCAATTGGTCAGCTGACCTCGCTTCATCTATCTTTTTTCCCATCTCTGAAATTCTTATTTTCAAGATCGTGGTCATTTTAGTCATGTATTTTAGCCATGTTTTTGTATGAAACAAGCAATATTTGTGATAGTTCGGTCTTCTCAAAAATATTAAACAAAAAAAACATGTATTTTTAACAATGTACCTATCATTTCTGTTTACTCGGATATTACTTTTGATAAAACTAGCGTAGTTGCCAGAAAACCAAACAAAAATTAAAAACAATGCGGTGGACATGCAAAATGTATGCAGGGTCATCGCTGGTCTGGCAGGAGTGGCTGGAAAAGTAATTTACGCAGGCAGAGTATATGATGAAGGTAGCAAACATTTGGTGATAACTGATGTGCTAAGGTTAATGAAGGAAATGGAATTTGATGTGAGTTCGAGGAAAATGTTCAAAGTAGCAAAGCAGTCAATGAGGGATAGGAAAGATGTTATAGGGAATGGATGTGTTTGGGATGGATCTGGCAAGTTGTGCATAGATGAGGAGGAAAAAGCTCAGGTGTGGAAAGCTCATATGGAAAGGTTGATGAATGAAGAGAATGAGTGGGATGGAGATGTGGAATCCGCGGTCACACACAGTAGAGAAAGCAGTTAGAGAAATGAAACTAGGTAAGGCGACAGGGGTTTCGGAAGTGGCGGCAGAACATATAAAAGCGAGTGGGGTGATAGGAATTGAAGTTATGATGAGAATTGCTAACAGTATGTTTGATGATGAAGGTATACCTGAGGGTGTGTTGGTGCCGTTGTATAAGGGCAAAGGAGATGTGAGAGATTGTGGGTCATATAGGGGTGTGAAATTGCTAGAGCACGGAATGAAGGTAGTGAGGAGGGTGCTTGAAAGGAGGTTGAGAAATATGGTGACAGTTAATGAAATGCAGTGTGGGTTTGTGCCTGGTAGGGGAACGGTGGATGCGTTGTTCATGGTGAGAATGTTGCAGGAGAATTATAGAAAGAAGAAACGAAGATTGTACATGTGTTTTGTGGATCTAGAAAAGGCTTTTGATCGAGTACCGAAGAAGGTCATTGAAAGGGCGATGAGGAAGAAAAGAGTGAATGAGAGACTTGTTAAAGCTGTGATACAGCTGTATGAAGGGGCAAAGACAAAGGTGAGGGTTGGAAGGGGGATGTCGGACGCTTTTAGTGTAGGGTTAGGTAGGAGTGCATCAAGGATCAGTGTTATCACCGTTTCTGTTTGCAATTGTAATGGATGTTGTGTGTGGAAACATAATGGAGGGGTTGTTATTTGAGATTTTGTATGCAGACGATTTAGTTTTGATGGCTGATGGCATGGAAGAATTGCAGTTAAAATTTGACAGATGGAAAAGTGTTATTGAAAAGAAAGGGTTAAAAGTTAATATTGGTAAGACGATGGTAATGGTGAGTGGGGAAGGTGGGGAGCGAGTGATAAGTAAAATAGACCCCTGTGGGGTATGTGACAGGAGAGTGAAGGCTAACTCGGTATTGTGTTTAGGATGTCAAAAATGGGTGCATAAGAGATGTAGTGGTGTGAGGGGGGCACTGAAAAAGGTGGAAGGCACGTTCAAATGTAAGAAATGTGTTCATGGTGTGATTAATAGGACGGACGCAAGGACGGGTTGAGTGGTGGTATTGAAAGAGTGGAAAGCTTTGTTTACTTAGGGGATAAGCTGAACGCGGATGGAGGATGTTTGAGCGCAGTTACGGCTAGAGTTCGTGTAGGATGGATGAAATTTAGGGAACTGGGTGGGGTATTGTGTGGAAAGAAATGGTCAGTTAAGATGAAAGGGAGGGTATATAAAGCATGTGTGAGAGCAGCGATGGTATATGGTGGTGAAACTTGGGTGTTGAGGAGAGAGGAGGAAAGTGTACTGCAGAGGGCTGAAAGAGCTATGGTGAGGATGATGTGTGAGGTTAAAGTAAAGGATAGGAGGAGTAGTACAGAGCTGATGTCAATGATGGGACTGAATGAGGACATTGTGACATTGATAAGGAGATCGAGATTGCGGTGGTATGGACATGTGTTGAGAAGGGATGAAAGGGTCGGGATTAGGCGAGCGTTGGAGTTCGAGGTTGAAGGAGTGGTAGGAAGGGGTCGTCCGCGATTGGGATGGAGAGAGCAGGTGGAGAAGGACAGGGTGAAAGCGGGGTTGCGTGATACTGAGGCGAGTGACAGATGTGGATGGAGTCGAGGGGTATTTCGGTTTCATCATAGGTAGCCAAACGGCAACCCCCGATCTCGGGGAAAATGTCGTCTAAACGTGTGTTGTTGTTGTTGTTGATGTGTTAAGGCACTTGTGGTTCGGCAGCAGCACATCTATGTACCAAGTGTGTCATTGAACAACGACGATGATGATTATAATGGAAATAAAATTCTCAGTTCGTTTCTTTTGAATGCTAAATCAGATTTATCGTGTTGTATAAAAACATAATGGTCAAATAATCAAATGAATATTTTAGTTAACAACTAACTTAGTTTTGTAGTAAGTTATGTCAGCTTTACTCTGAGCAATTTCTTTTTCATTTTTTAGACATGATTGCTGAGAAAAGCAAATGTCAATTTTAATTTATTAAATCAACCAATCAGTTAGTCAATCAACTTTCAATGCCAAGACAAAATCTCACCCAATATTCATGCGTTCTTTTTTCAATGGCAGCAATCTAAGAAAGATAAAATGAATTTTATTTTAAACAGATTATTCAAAAATTTAAAGAAAATTCATTTTACTTTCTGTCTGTGTTGAACACCCATTTCTTTAATTTCATTTTTTAAATCTTCAATATCTTTCCTATGAAAAATTTATACTCATTATTTTAATTGTTCATTATCATGATTGTTGATTGCATTGTTGTATTAATGAATGAATATATTTTTAAAAAATGCTCTCATAAATGCTACTTGGAAAGCTTCCGTTGAATGAGTTCATTCAAATGAGTGAGTTTCAGATCATTGGCAACACCACAAACAAAGCTGCTGCCTCTATCATGCTATTCATATTTCCTCAGAGCGTCATTTATTGATAGGTTGCAGACAGCAAGACATACCTAAAGCCTGTGTCATTCTTTAACTACACACTAACTATATAGAGGCAGTTCACATGAACACCTTACACAATGTTCTAGAAACCAAGAATCTGAATGTTTACACAACCGTGAGCCATTACCGCACCTTCATTAAATATTCTAAATCAGATTCCAAGTTGTCAAACTAATTCTGCAGTGCCATTTTAAAAGGCTGCATTTACCAAGTTACATACAAATATATGATATTACAAATGCACTAACAATCTATTTGCTTCTTCTAATCAAATTCATCTTAATTTATTTGGAAACCTAAACTAGTCTAACAGTAGTTGCTTTATTAAGAATCGACTTAAGATATAGAAATTAATTTTATTTAAAACCCAACAAAAATTGTATTCTAGATGAGATAGTATCCCACAGCAAAGATAATTTCAAATTATATCTAACGCAAAATTTAATTGATGTCCATTTATTTCAAATAAATAAAAAGGTTCTCACATGTAAGTAGATTTCAGAACTTCCAACTCCTTCGACTCTTGTTCTTTTTTCATATCTTCCTTCATTCTGGCTTCTTCCTCATCTTTTGTTCTGAAGATGTTCCCCAAGGTAGAATTATAATAAATTATAAAATTAATAAAAAAATAGTTAAAAGTTGCTTACTTTGCACATTCTTTTTCTTTTTCCTCGACCAACTTTTCAAGCATCTTTCTATCGGAAATGACTCTTTCAATGTCGCTTTTCCATTTTGAACACGAGCTTTGTAATTTTTCTTCTTCTAGTTTCATCTTTCTCAATTCAGCTGACGCAAAAAAATGTTAACTCTTCGTTACTTCATATAATATTATTTTGGATAAATGTTGAACCATTTAAGATATATGTTCATTTTTAAATACATTTCTTTATTTTTTGTTTTTAATAATACTCTACACGCCATATATCGGATTAAACAAACACGAAATAATCAGCCGGCAATTTTCATTACACATCATTTAGAAAAAGGTTTGGTTTCTGAATAGTTTAAAAAAAAGTATATGAGCTGATTTTGTTTTAATAAGCGTGTGTTGTAGGATGATTTAAATAAAAAAAAATGATTTTAACAGCACTGGTAGTTATATAGAATAGACGATATCCTTATTATCAAATGCTGTCAGCCCAATATTTAAAGACCATCGTGCGTCGTGCTAAGGTGCTAACACGTAGCCTACAAAGATAAGCGTTGTATGAAAGCTTTTACGTTTACCAAACACAACAAATATGTATATTTAATAACAAATTGCGTTTTAAAGATTAGTATGTATATAATTAATTTGACAATTTTTATTCTATAGAAATACTTGAAAATGCTAATCAAAAGAAAGCGTCAGATGAAAATAATAAGTATTCAATTAGTAATTAATGTCAAACTTTGGTAAACTTTTTCTTTTTCTTTTTCCAATTCCAAAGCTTTTTTCAGTGCATCAATTTCCTGCTGCATTTCTTTAATGGCATTCTCTGTCTGAATGAGATCAAAAATGTCACTAATCAATTACTAACAACAGTTATCTGATAAAACAAACAATGTTCATTAAACATTAGCTAGTAAAGCAAACTGCAAATGTACAACAGTTGGGATTCGAATTGCTCTTCAACTCACATCTAACCACTTCTTAAAGGATATAGTAGAAAAAAGTAATTTCAAATATCTCAACTTCAAATGTAACATGTAAACTCTTTGTTTCCCTGACTGCTTTTTATTTACATCCACATGGCATAACATCCGTCCAGCAAACTACGCCCATGTCAGTTTTTATATTGATCAAGCTGCTTACACAAAAGACTTAAGAATTCAAGGAATTGGAATGATGAATATAGTCACACCTTCACAAAATTCTCCAACTACTGAATCATTTAAACATGTCCGAACTAATAGACAACGACTTGAAAGATATAAAAACTACTTACCTTACTGTAGCAAAAATCATCAGCAACTTTCTGCATGAGTTGAGCAATACCACCATCATCATTTGCATCTTTTAACGTAAGGAACTCTTTATCGTACGCCAGAAATATTTCATTCAGTCTATTTGAAATCTGATCAAAATTATTTCAAATGTTATTGCACCGGTTCAAGAAATGGAGTAAAATTCAAATACTTCGTATCAGAGTAACTGACTTGGAAAAGTCAAGAAACTTAAAACATTAACGATTAAATGATTGTGAAAGTAATTTTAACAAGAACATTTAATGAAATCGAGCTGGAAAAATAGTTTTGTCAACAAACTTACTTCAATTTCTTTCTTTTTCTCAGTAATGTTTGCCAGCAGCTTATTTTCTTCAGCTTTAGAATCCATTTTTCTTTTTTCGAAATTTTCTACCCTTGGTGCAGAAGCATTTGAAAATTAGAAAATTGTCCATTAATTTATTACAAAGCCATGGGCAATAATTTATATTAAAAAATAACGTTCTTACTGTTTCGAGGTTTCTTTTAGTTCCTTTTCAACCTTGTGCATTATAAAATAAATTGATATCGCAGTTTTAAGATGAACTTTAAAAAAATTGCGTGCATATAGATTATACAGTTACACAACAATTAAATAAAAAGAGTACAAATATAATAAAAAAAAGAAAATTTTCGAACATGATTCGTGCGAAAGTCATGTGAATAAAATCTGAATACATCTAGTGATAATAGTAATCTTACTCTTCCTGTTGCTCATGACTTTCCTCTACTTTTGATACTGTTGATCAAACTATTCTCTTAAGACTGCTAGATCATTCTTTTAATATTACTGATTCTTGTCTATCTTGGTTTTTTTCTTATCTCTGCAATTGTTTTTCTTCTGTTGTTCTCAATAATTCTACTTCTAACTCCTCTACTCTTACTTTCGGGGCACCTCAGGGTTCTATCCTTGGCCCTCTTCTATTTATACTTTATACTTCTGAACTACCTCGTATTATTAATAATTATTCATTCACTAGTCAACTATATGCTGATGATTCTTATATTTATTCTTCTTTTCCTCCATCTAATCTCAATAGTGTTTTTCATGATCTATCTCTATGTCTTTCTTCAATTATCGCTTGGTCTGACTCTATGTGTCTTAAACTTAATCGTTCTAAATTTGAATTAATTTGTTTTAATAAATCTAAACACTCTATTGCTATTCCTTCTATTACCTTACCTGATTCTAAAATTATTGATGTTTTTCACAAGTTTCGTAGTCTAGGCTTTATCTTTGATCCTAGCATGTCACTTTCTTCTCAGATTAATAGTATTGCTAGAAGTTCTTACTTTTCTCTACGAAGAATAAAAAACGTTTGCCTCTTCTCAACGATAATACTCTTCTCCTTCTTGTTACTTTGTTAGTCTTATCTAGGATTGAAGTTTAGAGCGGATCTCAAGACACATCTGTTTGCAAAATTCATTGATGAGCGCTGTTGAACATCACAGAAATATAGCTTTATAAACTAGTTGATTGATTGATTGATTGATTGATTGATTGATTGATTGATTGAATTGACTGGTTGTAGTGGTAAAACGTTTGTAGTATAACTATTCAAATAAAGTGTGAGATTTATATGAAGGATGCAAAGCAGCTAGAGCTTCTTTATCCATCTATCCTAGTTTTAAAATCTGATTTACTTATTATCTATGATAAATAATCTCAATTTTTCTGAAAATATATTTATTGAAAAAAAATTAAAATTAACGAAATTCGCAATGAATACCTTGCTTATGCTAGCAAATGTTTCAGTTGATTCATTTTCACAACTTTTTATTTGCTTCTCAATGTCTTCTTTCTTCTTCTCGATGGCAACTTTTCCATTGTTAATCTTTATTAAAAATGTTTATTGCAAAAATGTACGTGAAAGAACATAAATAAGCTATCGATATTTCAATATTCAGTTTATGAACGAATGAAAAAAGCAATACTGACATGATCAATCTTGTCTTGTTCATTTTTCAGTTGTTCAGAATATTCTTTCAACTACATGACAACAAATTAAAAGTGCATTTATTGCAGAATTGAAAGAAATCATTTTAAAGTTTGACAAACAAAAACCAGATTAACATGGCGATATCAATGCAATTGAATAAGAAATATCTCAGCTTGCTTGATTTATAAAACATTGTATTAAAAATAAAACACTATGAATGATGACAAATATTCATAATGCCCGAACTTTATGTTCGATAGTGGTGCATTCTTCAATGAAAGCCATCATCTCCTGCTCAGACAATCTCTTCATCTTCTCTTCAGCTTCCTTATCTTCCTGCATCTTTTTCACTGTTTTCTATAAAATTTAATGAATTCTTATTACATTTTTACTCAGTTACGGTACGGTCGTTTGTACATGTTAGTCAGTAAACTACCACACAAACATTTCGTTCATATGAACAAATATATCTGAGAACGTTAATAAAATTTTAGATTCAAAATCATTTATTCCTATTCAAATTTTAATCCTTAGAGTGGTAAACCTCAAACACAAAAAATTGCAGTGATGAATATGAAAAGTAACGGAAATTAACATGAATGATAATACAACTAATCAAGTATTGTTCATTTTCGTATATATATTGAAAGAATAAATTTTAATTTTCAAACTGTTTATGATAGAAAAAGTTTAAGAATTTAATCAAACCTTGTGACTGTTGAAACTGGCTTTGAAATTGTTGCTCTTTTGAGATAATTTATCAATCTCCAGTTGTTCTACTTCAATCTGTCAGAAATTAATTAATTGCTCGTTAATTGATTAATTAATTATGAAAATGACAAAATGACAACAAAATGTTGAAACCTTTTCTTTAAGTTGTTTCATTTCAGTTGTGATGTTCATATTTTCTTTACATTTTTCTTTTAACAAAATTAATTTATTAAAAAAAAATTATCAAATAATTTAATCTACATTAACCAAAGAAAACTGATTAGAATAATGAGTCACCTTTGTTAAAAACATTTGCTGGATCATGAGTCAATATCTGAAAAATTAATCAATTAGTTTATTTTAAATGGTTTTCAATTATACTCATTTAACAGGTATTGGTGAGATGATGGTGAAATGAGCCTGGTCATATTGCAGTGAACAACCAGGTTCCATTGCCAAAAATTAACATAAACGTGCATATGACAGTTAAGAGATGATAATTCATTCCAATCTCATGCAAACATCGGGAAAACATTGGGAACCAACCTTGTAAGATATACAGAGAGTCAAAATTAAGAACAGCACATACAAACTGAAATGCACATACGTTGAAAATTTGAATTCCATAATGGATAGGAAGAACTGAGTTTTGTTCTCCTATTCAATTTAAATATGGCACATACAATAAATGTTTGCATGGATGTTTTATTAATATTTACAATTTAAATATCAAATGTATAAAACTAAATGTTAAAAGTTGAAATATTAGAAACCTCATTTAATGACTGTTCTGGAAGATTGCAGGATCCAGTGTTGACCTGATCATCCTTACATGGAATGGAGATTGTTGGATTAATGTCATCATTCCTTTGCTCATCCCCATCAATCTCTTTAACAATTAAAAATAAAAATATGAAATAATTTATTAACGAAAAATGAGAATTATCATTTAAAAATTATTATAGCACATGAACTTCAAAATAACTTAATCCAAAAATTACATTGAAATAATTTGAAAAATTAAAAAAATGTCCAACTTATAAAGCTATTTATATACTTAAAAGCTATTTATTTTTGACTAAACTACATATGATTAAAAACATGTTAGTTAGGATTTAATCTACAGGTAAAAATTACATTAGAAACATCTTTTAAATCTAAAGTTTTATACATTTTTGACTAAATTTTAATTCAAATTTAATAAAAAATTAATTGTATTGAATAATTCATTTAATAATTCATTTAATAAAAATATGGCAACCAATACTTTGATCAGGACGTTCATTGTTGCTTAAGCTTGATCTTTCAATACTTTTCAATATTTCATTATCTGTGAGCGATTCTGCTTCAGATGATGTAGTCAATGATGGTGAATCTAAAATTTTTTCATTATTATCTTCAGCTCCTTCAATGAAATAAAATAATTGTAATAAATATTAATTATTATTATTATTCAATTAATTCTGGATTATTTATTAATTTTTTAATTGTAATAATTTATGTCAAATATTTTCAAGTTTTTTTATTATAAATAAAAAAATTTTATAAGCTTTTGAGAAATAATATTTATTTAAAATTAAAATTAAATAAATATAATAAAATTAAGAAAAAAAAACAAAACTGCCAAAGTTTAGTTTTTAGTAGCTAACTTAAAAATTAACATACAGGTCGTCATACAAATACAAACCTTTTGATTGATTTGAAGAAATTATTAATGAGGAAACGATACAGCAGAAAATTGCAGAAAATTGTTTCATATTTCACTGAGAGCAAGCGAATCAAAAAATAAACAAAAGAAATTTGTAAAATAAATCTTAATTAAACTTTCAGTTCACCTTTTACTAATCAACTACTAAACTAAACACGGCACCGTGTTTACTACATACGAAAATTCACTTTTAAAAAGCAAAACGTATGCAGAACTTTAAATCTTCAAATAAATGACTTAAAAACCAAACTTGATGGTTCAAACAAAATGCTAAGAAAAATAGTGTAAGATACAAAACTAAATTTTTACTTGGTTATTTTACAAGTTAAACTAAAAAACATTTTTTAAAACAAATTTTAAAAAACAAAATAAACTAAATTTGTTTGTTCAACTCAATGATTTGGTATCATAAACTTCCAGATATAATTTAAACATGTAGTGAACATATTTTTCTGGAAGTTTAAGTGATAGTGACGGATTTGCGTTTTACTCTAGATATAGGTCATATGGCGGAAAGTTTGAAACCATTGTATTTTACACTGGCAACTATTGTCCCATAGTTTTCTTCCTATTCTAAACCTTACTGGAAAGAAGAGCAGCAATGACATCATATATTTATTTGCCAGAGAACACCCAAAAAGTAGAGATTTGGCTGATTAGCGAGAGCCGAAAAATAGAACATAACAACGCGAACTTTTCAAGGTCGACGTGGGTGCAGATAGATCAAATGGTTGTCAGTTCATATGTGTAATTCAATGCGTAAAACTGTACAAAATTTCTGCTAATGTTTTTTTTAGATAAAGTTTCATCATATACAACATTTGCATTTTCGAAACATAATTATAACATATAGGCAAATTTATAATACCTCGTATATGCACCATAGTTTGTGATGTTTTTTGTAAGCTTACCTATCTCGATTTCAGTGAACCATTGAGAACAGTTGGCGAATCCACTATTATAATGAGGGGATGATTTTCTAAAGTTGACGACGACCTTATTACTAAAATAGTTTCATAGGAATTTTTACGTCTTTGTTTGATTATTTGACAGTAAATTTCCTCCTGATTAGTCACAGTTTAATGCAGAGAATACTACGTAGGCTATGTACTGATTTGATTAATTAAACATTTTTTTGGTATTAAAGTAATTAAAGTTACATTTTTCAAGTAGCATATTAGTTTTCGGCAGTGATATAATTTGGTTTAGCATGGTGAATATTTTCATGAGAAGTCATATGTAGGTAATCTGACATATAAACCGCTTTAATTTTTAAATCACTGTTTTAAACGATTTAAAGTTTTTTTCTTTAACACTTTGTATTCTAATTAGAAGCATGACAATACATTGTAAAATGTAAATTTAACTTGAAAGTAAATTAAAATACTTCTCTAATAATATATCGTGTATAAACTTTTTCGTTTAAATTTCGAATTCTTAACGTATGAGAATTTATTTCAAAACAGTAAAAAAAACGCAGTCTCCATTTTAAAAACCTTCGAGCCCTTCTATACCAAATTTTGGAGTTAACGACTGCAAATTAGGTGGAAAATTTTTCTAAAATATGAGCACTGAAAATTTTCTGTTAATTTGTCACTAACGCATCAACAGTTTAGACACATGTAGACAAATGTTTAATTTAAAACATGCGACAAAGCTGTTTATGCAGAATAAGCTAATTTTATGTCTTCACATGCCACATAAAATTTTGCTTAAAGACATTCCAAACTGTAATAAACCAAGCATCATTATCTTTATCAAAAAAACTTTTTTTTCTTACAAATAAAACTGCCTTTATCATTTTTCCTATCGGTTTTGTCTGTCTCCCGCTAACTCATCTCAACACATTTATTTACGGAGAAAAACACACAAAAAGAGACACAAACGCACACACACCACACCTACATATGCACTTACGCAACGCACACACTTATAAAACGTCGGCACACCCATGTCAGCACGCACGACTACCGCAGCTTGAAACTTATTTATTTTGCACTAAACTGATATGTGATTAACATCTCGGCACAGCTTGCTTTCTCTCGGTTTTTTGACAATAATTTTAGTTTAGCTGCATTTAGTTCGCATTGAATCACAAAAATCTATGCACAAAAACGTTTTTAAATGCAATTAAATAATGATGTTATCATGAAAACTTTCGTTTTAAAACATTGTTTAATAACTTAATTAAATAACAAAATTATTTTATTGCCATTTTTTTGATAACAATAAATGTTGACACATTGTAAATATCCGACCGAGTCACCGAAGTTGCAACGTTTGCAGTGGTGGTTCATGGCAGCCAGCCATTATGTGCGTCTGCCGTGTTCTGATGGCTACGTAGTAAAATATAAGAATATAAATGATGAATGGCGATTAAAATAACAAATATAATATAATTTTGACAAACGACAATATGACAACGTAAATCAACAACAATAATTTCAATGTAATTTTAATAAAAACATTAAAACAGGGGTTATGCAGCCCACGAAGCTTTTTTATGCGGCCCGAGATGCCTTGTTCGCCAAAAAAAGTCGTCAGCCAGACATTATGAACAAAAAAAGGAGCCATAAATCTTGGAAAAAAACTTCCCCCGGGTCAAAAAAATTTGTTCTATAAGTACATACATAAGTTTATCTTCAAAGGTAAAATAGTTTTCAATGCGGCCCTCACACCAAAATGTTTGTCCACCCCTGCCTTTTAAAGCAATAAATTCTCAAAAACTAAATTCTCTTGTCAGCTATATAAAATGAAACTTTCAAACCTGAGTAAACAAGGGTTCTAACAACAAAACAGTAGCTTACCTTGTACGTCAGTCAACTTTATTTAAAGTTGAAAACTTACTTGAAGAATCTTGTTAAATCACTTCTAAGCACAATTTTAATGATCGTTTCAAGGAAAGTTTTGCTTCCGAACCAAAGAAGTGCATTAGATATATTCTATAATTGAAGAAGTACCAAAAATATGAATGAAATAAAATAAAAAAAATAAAATATAAATAATAAACTGAACAAACAACAGAAATAAAATAATCAATAAAACAAGTACTACCCTACGGTATATACAAATCTAGCAATCAATTAAAAAATGATAGAAAAACTGAAACAACAATTGAACAAGCAATAAGACGATAAAACCAAAAAAAATCATCAATCAATCAAATAAATAAAGCAAGTCTTTAAAAAATAGATAATAATTAATCAAAATTATTCAAATAAGCATGAAAAATCAAACAAGCAATTAAGCAATAAATATAAAATTCAAAATCAATTGGTAAGAATTGTAACAGGTTTCAAAGTTTAATTTCACTTGTCAACAAACTTCGACTCTGTTAGTCTGATGTTTATAGATAAATGTTTTCCAGCCATGGTATTTAACAATTATAGAAACGTGTATAATTTTGGGTATGTAACTCAGTGCTCCCAACATATTTTGGATATCGATTTCATGCCATATAGTAATCAAAATTTTACAAAATACAAACTACATTTTGTAGGATATACTTACGTATGTATATACAATGAATATATGTATATTTATATGTATATATAATGTTGGTATGTATGTATATATATATATATATATATATATTTATATTTATATTTGTGTATTTTATATAAATACACAAATATGTAACGTGACTGACTGGCTGGGTTCTGCTGGGAGCCATTTGTGTTCGTCTTTTTCTTTTGAATCACTGTTCTCAGTCTCAGTTCAGGTTCGTTAACATAACAATTTCAACGGTTTTGTTGTTTTGTTTGTTGCAAGAGCTGGCCTCAATTCTGTTGGGAACGCATGTTTTTATTGCTTTTATATTATATTTTATTCAAATAATATATAATATAAATATAGATAAATATATACATATATATATATATATATATATATATATATATACACATATAATATAATTGTTATACGAAATTGAATTTTAATATTGGTCCCAATTATTGATTGACAGTTGACTGACATGAATGACATCATAATCATACATATGTTTCGTGTTGAGTTTTGTTGCGTAATCTCGGTGATCAGCAGATAACAGTTGTTTTATATATTTTTATCAATTTAATATCAATATTTATACATTTATAATAAAAATTATTTTTTAATATCACAACCAGATGAAGTTCTATAAACGATTTCTTATTATTATTGTTATTTTGTCATTTATATGTTTCATATCTTACCAACGTTATTTTGCAAAAGTAGTTTTCTTGAAAGAAAATGAACAGGTGGCCAATTTTCCAGGATTCCTCAACAATTACCACAACAAAGAAGAAGATAGATTCGCGGGTGGTGTTGACAATTCTACTTCTTCATCTGCTGTTAGTTTGGGGCCTCACCAGATTTATGAGGGACATGAACTTGATGATGGTGCTACATTTTTATTAGAATCTTCTGCTGACATTAAAACACTTGATTTACTGGACCATGTTGAAAAAAGGTTCAGGAAGGGAGAGATTTTGGAATTGAATTTTGATCACTTTGAGGAGGATGATGGCGTTCAAGGTTTTCTTCAGGTATTGACTTTCAATATTTTATTTATTTTTTTGTTAGGAATTAAGAATGAACTATGAATTATTCATCATTGTTATAAGTTTTATTCATTGTGATAACAGGCAATTGTTGTGCCACATTCCCACAATGATCCAGGATGGTTGAGAACAATTGAAGAATATTTTGCGGAAAACACAGAATCAATTCTGAATAACATGCTCGAGAAGTTAATTGAGCATCAAGAAATGACCTTCGTTTGGGCAGAAACAGTATTTCTTTCTATGTGGTGGAATAATTTAACAGATGAAAAAAGAAAAGTAAGATTATCATTATAGGGATTTTTTAAAAAATCTAATTGAATTCACAAAACATTTTCTGTATTTTATAATTATCTATAATATTGTTGTGATATTAAATATCATTACAGATATTCAACATGCTTGTTGAAAGTGGACGATTAGAGATAGTTGGAGGAGGTTGGGTGGTGCCCGATGAAGCTGTCACTCATTACTCATCATTAATTTTGAATTTCCTTGAAGGACATCGTTGGCTGAAAAAAAAAATTTTATTCAAACCAAAAATCACATGGTCTCTTGACCCCTTTGGATATTCATCATTTTTTCCATATCTCTACAATAGAATTGGTTATAAATCTTCTATAATTTTGAGGGTGAATACATACATCAAAACTGAGATGGCAATGAAGAAGTTGTTGCATTTTAAATGGAGACAGGTTTGATACGTTTTTGTTACAGTTATTTTAAATTATTTTGGATGGAGATGAGTTAAAAATTATTACATTTCAATGAGAGTAGTTTTAAATACTTTACTTTTCTCTTAACTTTTTATTTTATTTGAAATTTTTCAAGTACAGTGTTTAGAAAGTTTTAATTTGCAATACAGAATTGGGACAGGGATGGTCTTTTTGATTCAGAAACATTTATGCTACCTTTCATGTTGTACAACATTAAACACCAGTGTGGTCCTGACAAGTTAATTTGTTTGCAGTTTGACTTCAGAAATATTCCAGGTGAGTCCTCTGAGTCGAGGGCAGAAGAGGTTAATGCTTATAACATTGCCAGTTTAGCTCGGTTGCTGACTGATCAATTCAAGAAAAAAGCCTCATTGCAAATGAAGTTTGTATATTCAGTATCATTATGGTCACTTTCTTTTTTGGAATTCATTATGTTTGATCATCATTTTCCTGTGTAGTATAACTGTGGTGGTTTGTTTCATGTAATTATGTAATTCATGTATTTCAGTTCATTCATTCATTCAAGTGAATAGAATTGTTTCAGTGCAGATCTGTAATTAATCATCAACGTTTTATTTATTAAATAATTTTTTACAACTTTTTAATTTTAGGGTTTCAATTTGTGATATAGTTAAGTTTTTATGTCAAAGTTTAAGTTACTTAATTTTATTTGCTAAAGGGTTTATTGTTTAATAATCAATCAATCAATCAATCTTCGTTTTGCATCCAGATACCCGGTTTTCCGAGGTAGGACGTTGTTTTCTTTGCCATCAACTTGCGCCAAATTAGACGATCAGTTGTATCCATTTCATTTAAATTTAGAGCTTTCATGTCTTGCTCGATTGTTTGCGACCAGGACTTCTTTGGACGGCCTTTGGGACGTGTGCCAGGTACTTCAACATCTGCAAGAGAAGTTATGGCACTGTTTCCACTTCGTTTGACATGACCAAACCACCGCAGACTGTGTTGCCGGCATTCATCCTTTATATCATCTAAACCAGCACGACGCAGGATTTCGGTAGATTTGATGTGGTCCTTCAGACTAATTCGTTGCATCCATCGGAGCATTTTCATGTCGGTTCGTTGAAGTTGTTGTTCCAGTTTGGTTGTCATTGGCCATGTTTCTGCACCATATAACAACACCGGACGTATCACAGATTTATAAAGTCTTGATCGTAGTGGTAGTGGGATGTCACGCCGCATCAATATAGAGGCAAGGAGATGCCATTTATTCCAGGCTGCACGTATGCGTGCTCGAACGGCTGCTTCAGCTGTTCCAATACAATCCAGAACATCCCCTAGATATTGAAATGATGTGGCTTTCTCTATTTTAATGGCTTCAAAAACAGTGCTATTTTGAATTTGTTGTTGTGGATTGATGCTAGCAGGACAAACAAAATTGGACACTTTAGATAAAGTACCAACTATTTTTGAACAACGTTTGTGACACCACTGGTTACACTGCTGACACTTGATTGAATTGTTTAATAATACAACATACAATTAATTGTTAGAATTGCTAAGTTAAGTAGCTCATTATTTTTAATTGGTTAAAAACATAAGCAATACGTTTACATGTGCGTCTAATTATATGCGCCTAATTAGAAAGTAGAAAATTTTCTAACAAAATTTTTTCAAATATTTTCATAGCAAGAATGTGGTTTTGATACCAATTGGTGATGACTTCCGGTTTGATCAAAGTATCGAGTGGGATCAGCAGTACAATAACTTCATGAAGCTCTTTCGCTATATAAACAAAACTCCAGAGTTAGGAGTTAAAGTTAAATTTGGCACTGTCAGTGAATTCTTCAATAGGATGGCTAGACACAATAAAAAGTAGTGATTGTTATAATCTCATTTATTATTTATTAGGCGCTTACCTAATTTTTAATTTTTGAAATTTAATGTTTTTCAGGTTTGGAATTCATGAAAAAGAAAGAGAATTGTTTACCTTATCTGGTGATTTTTTCCCTTACACTGATCGAGATAATGATTACTGGACCGGTTTCTACACAACAAGAATGTGGCTGAAAAAACTTATAAGAACTTTAGAGCACACATTAAATGTTGCAGAAATGATCCACTTGAATGCTGTTGTACATGCAGGCAAATATAACATAGATTGGTCGCAATATGCTGAAAAGGTTGATGCCTCATTAACAAAAGCACGTCAAACAGCTTCGCTGATGCAGCACCATGATGCCATCACAGGCACATCTACCAACTACGTCACCAAAAATATGAAGGAAAGTGTTGTGAAGGCTCTTCGTGCAGTTGAACAGGCGGCTCAAAAGTCCATGCATTATCTGTTTACACTTCCTCTAGTTTCTCACAATTTCATTTCACATGTCACTGAAGATTACAAATTTTTCATGTTGACTGAAAGTTTGTCTAGTCAGATTTGGTCCACAAATAACGTTATGTTAAGCAAATCCAATGTTTATTTAATTGTTTTCAATCCTTCACTTCACCATTCCAATGCTATTATGTCATTTACAATAGAACTAGTTAATCATAGTTTTGACTTGATAAAATCTTTTTTCAAAGGATCTAACGTTAATGAAAGCGCTAAATTTGTTTTAAAACGTTACCACGGAATTAAAAATAAAGATGGAAAGCATATAACTGCATGTCACGTTCATAAATTCCAATCATTCTCAAATAAATTTATACTCTCATACACTGATGTCATCAATCCGATGAGTTTTGCATTGTACTCTATTTCATTGGCTCACAAAGGTGACGATGATTCTAATATCTGTGACTCACAACAATACCAAGTGAATAATTCAAGCTTTGATCAACCCATCGTTCTTGAAAATGATTGCATGAAAGCCTATTTTGATTCAACCACCGGCCATTTATTGAGGTATAAATTACCCGGCAATAAACATTTCAAAGTTGAGGTTAAATTTATGGCATACGATTCGTCGAAAGATGGGGCTTACATCTTTGGAACATTAAGTAAAGCCCGTGAGTTTGAACCGAAGAAACCTAATGTAATAAACGTTTTAAAAGGGCGTTTGTATAGTAGTTTAATGGTTCACATGGATGATTTGTTTGTGGTTGATTATCGTCTGCCAATGTCAAAATGCAATTCCGACGGGTTCGACCTTCACATTGATGTGTCTGTAAACATGACACGAAATTTGTATAACAACATCGACTTAATCATGCGTGTAAATACTGAATTGAAATCGCAAAATTATTTCTATACGGACTCCAACGGCTATAGCTCTATTCTCAGAAAACGACTTCCCGCATTGCCTATTGAGGCAAATTATTATCCAGCCACGTCGTATATTTTCATTCAAAATGAAGAAAACACTCTGCTCCATGGCTTGAATAAAAAATATAATGGCGCTCATAACAAAAATAAACAAACTAACAAAGAAAATATGGATGCTAATGAAGAATTGTCATTTTCTGATTATCGGATAACATTGCTGATGAAGGAACCTCGGGGTGTCAGTAGTCAGCACTCTGGCAGTTTAGAAGCCATGTTGGACCGCAAGTCAGTTTATTCGGATGGAAGAGGTATGGGAGATTCCATCATGGACAACTTGCCTATCACTTCGTCATTTCATCTTTTGTTGGAAAAGGTTGAAATATTCAGCCAGGCCCACAATAAATCTATTATTTATGATCAGAGGAGTAAAAATGATGGACGTTTTTTCAGACATCCAACGCTGTTAGCCATCAACGTACTGCAAATGTTGAGGAATAAGCCATCAGGTTTTACATCCACTTTGCCTCTTACGACTTTGTTGAAATCTATTTCTCACTTGGAGCCTGTTTACCAAAATCGAACGTATCCTTGCGATTTGTCACTGGCTTTTGTTCGCCACATGCTTCCCACTATTCAAAAATCTGAAAAGAATCTGAATGTATCTGCCTTAGTGGTTTTGCACAGGTTTGCTGCCGAGTTAGGATCCTCTTCAACTTTAATGTGCAATTCATTAAATGGATTCCATAAAAGTTATAGAAGTCAATTGAAAAGAGATTGCGGAAGTTTGTCAATGAAGCGATTGTTTCCTCATGACAACTTGGTTGGCTCAAGAGAAAGCAGCTTAACGCTGCTTCGTGTCGAGAAGTCGCCATTTGATGTTAACAGTGATTTATGCTTGAATGCCTCTTCCCTCCACTCCTATCTTCTTCAGTTCGCACCAACACCTATGTGGTAGCGAGTTTTTTTTAAACCGGTTTTTAAGAGAAGTGTTTTTATTATAACGTTTATTTTGCTTCAATTTTCGCATGAATAATTAGAAAAATTTAAATACTGCTCGATTATATATTTAATAATTAAAACTTTCATTCAAACAAACGTTTATTTTTGTGATTTTGTTTACATTTTTCGTTGATTTTTATGAACTTTTGAAAGAAATGCCAAATTTATTTTTCAAATTTCAAGTCACACACAATCGTTATTATAATTGTTTTTTTTTTAAAATCTCATCTTGTTCTCTAATTATTTATTAACGGCACTTCACTTTCTTTCACGGTGTAGTTGAATGTCCTTAACTATAATTGTTGATTTTTATTGTAATTAACGTATTACATTAACATCTGACCACAGACAAGATAGAATAATTGGCTACGATTGTTTATTTTTTTATTTTCATTCGGTAAATATTTTCGACAACGTATATATTGAAATATGTGATAAGTATATATATATATATATATATATATATATATATATATATATATATATATATAGAATATTCTATAAATTCTACCGAATGTTTGGCGTT